TAACAATATTTTTGTTTTTCATTGAATTGATAATGATGAGTATACTAATTAAAAAACTAGGCATTTTTAACTGAGAAAAAGCAAAGAGTAAAGTAATTGGATAAAAATTATAGATTAAATTTTTGAGCAATCATTTAGAATAATTAAATTAATCAAAAATAAGATCAATTAATATTATCATTATCAATGATTTGTAAAAGAAAGCATTAAAAATCTGAAAAATAAGTAGTTAAAAAAAACTATTAAGAGATGTAATATTTATTTTATAGAAATTTTCTAAGTTATTTATCATTAAGGAAAGGGAGAGCAACTCAATTAGAGAAAAAAGGAAATATTAATGAAATTAAAAATCAAAAAATAATAGTACTACCTAGAAGGGAAATTACAGGAAAATAAAAGATAATTAAGAGTAAAGTTAAATATAATCTATTATGTAAGAAAACGATTATGGAAATTTTATTATTGCATAGAATTAAAAGTATATAATTTCTGATTTCTAATAATTTATGAAATCAAAATTTTTGCTTATTTTTTTGTAATTATTAAGAAGTATTAAAACTATAGAATTAAGGCTTTAGATAATTCTTTTAAATAATTAACATCTAGTAAATAATTTTTTTTCAATTATTAATAGATGCGTTTAAAAAACTAAAATATAAAATAAATTAGCTATTTTTTATAAAATGTAATTTTCATATAAATTTATTTAATGAAATTTTAAATTTTGCGAAGACTTTAACAGTAAAATATTTTTATATATTAAAATTATTTCTGTAAAATATCAAATAAAATAATTGCAGAGATGAGTTTCTTTTCATTCAAGTTTTTTCTTAAGGATCTTGGTTATTTTTCTTCATATTTTTTGATCAAATAAAATAGATTAAAATAAATTAAGAAAGATAAAAAATAACTTAAATAGGTTTCAATACATATAAAATAAAATAAAATAAAAAATAGGAAATCATTTTCAAACAAAAATTGGTTAAATCCTTGATTATTATGGAAGTTGTGATTATATAAAATCATTTAACATCTTTTTAATTTTTGTGTAAAGTATTTTGAATTAAGTAAAACTATCTATTAAAGTATTAGAACTAACAATAATAGTGTAAGTTCCAATATTGATCCATCCTAAATAAAATACGGTATCTGAATTAAATAAAAAGTATGACTGAACTGAATAGAGAATAAAGGATAAACTATTTAGAAACATTCCTGCTTCAGTTATTAAAGCTTTTCTTAAATCATCAATTTTAGCAAAAGGCTATTATACAATTAGATAGGCACAAAATATTGATGATTAAAAAGCAACAGCAATAGTTTAATAAAGTCCTGATTCTTGCATACCTACAATTACAGAGATATAAAAAATTTTTTTAACCAACAAAAGTGTATTGTACTGCATAACCCAAACTTTTTGATTACTAGAGTTATCTTGCTATTAAAATAATGTTTTGATAGAAAATTTAAAATCAGTAGTTTTTTTTGTTTAAATTTGTCTAATTTTATGAAACAAAAGGCCGATAAAAGCAAATTAGAAAAGTAATGTAGCAATAGCTCCAATATTATTGATTAAACTAGAAGTGTCATGGAAATCCACATTAGTTAATTGAAGTAACGAAGAGAAGGCAAGTTCATAAAAATTAACTGTTGTTATCCTGATAAGTCCTGAGAAAGTAAAATTATTAACAAGTTTTGTGCATTTCTATCTAACTGTAAGAATTGATCCTCCTACTAATGATCCTAAACTATTTAATGTAGATGGAGTGATGTGATGTAGTATTTTAGATATAATGAGTGATGAATAGTAGACAGCAAAACTTATAGAAAAGATTGTTAAACTGGTTGAAGCATTATCAAAAAAAGAATAGGAAAGTGAATCATAGGCAAAAGCTTAAGGCATCATAGTATCATTATCTGAATTGGTGTTGTTTAATGTATTAAATTTCATTACAGTTAAACCAAGTTTTTTTGTTGCAATATTTGATATTTATGATTCTTTAAGACTATCTAGATATTGTTATAGATTTGTAGGGAAAGGTAAGTTAATATATTTGGAATAATAGAGATATTACAAGGTATCACAAGCCATATAAAAATTAGAGTATCCATTTGAGAAAATACTTATCATAGAGATGCCAAAAAATGAGTATGATTGGAATATCTGAAATTCTGAGAATGTTTAAATAAGTTTTTCTGATGCCTGACTAATATAAACTTAATTAGGTATTTATATTTCTTCTATATTTTTAATTAATTTGGTTTTATTTTCGGAAAAAATAAGCTTATTATTGACAATACAGATGATATTAATTTTATCTATGGGAATTGTATTTTTCATTTCGATTGTTGCAATATAAATCGCAAATGTTGGTTCATATTTAATAGGTTCTACTGGATGAATAGAATATGAATAATAATTTTCACTAAGATCCTAGATTTTTAAAACAATTAGATCTTGTGCAATCTTATCATCATCATCATTAAAAGTATTTTCTAAAAACATATTGGTAGTTTCATGACCAGTAGTAAACATCATTTTAGTAGAGAAAGAAATTTAAATAGTAGAAATATTGTCTTGTTGATTAATGAGATCAAGAAGAATGATTGGTTATTTTTGATAAAAGCAATTACTAACAAGTAATTATTAGTTTTGACAGAACCAATCAGTTTCAATTTAACAATCTTTAGAACATCCATCAAAATTAAAATTATTAGCATCATCACATTATTCTGATAAAGGTTCCCATAACCCATCTCCACATTAAGAAGCACATTAATTAAAATTTTTAGAGAATCCTAGAAATGAATCACATTCAAGACAGATACCCTTTTCACATAATAAACAAGCAGGATGACATTAAAATTCACATTAATTATTACAACCATCAAATTCTATTATATTAGCATCATCACATTATTCATATCCAAGAACAATTCCATCTCCACAAATAGGAATACATTTAAATTCTTAAAATTGCCAGCCAAGAATATCACATTCTAAACATATACCTTTTTAGCAATTTGTACAATGTTCAACACATTAATAATTACATTCATAACATCCATCATAAGGTAATAGATTACCATCATCACAATCTTCATATTGAGGTATAACATAACCATCTCCACAATATGTTTCACATCTATTCTAAGCATTTAACTTCCAACCAAAAGTACAATCTAAACATTTTCCAGATTCACACAAAACACAAGCTTCTTCACATTATGATTTGCATTCAAAACATCCGTCATAAGGTATATCATTTCCATCATCACATTCTTCAATACCTACTGTTAGTGAATCACCACAAACTTCCCAACAAAAAAAATTATTCAATATCCATCCAGGAGTATTACATTCATAACAAGAACCTGATAAACATTTTGTACATGCCAATTAACATATATATTTACAATCAAAACATCCATCATAATTTACTTCATTTCCATCATCACATTATTCATTTCCTGTTACTTATAGATCTCCACATACTGATATACATTATCCTTATGGTATTAATTGCCAACCATTATCTACATCGCATTCTAAACAAAATCCATTATGACAAGTTAAACATTGATGTTAACAAGAATATTTACATTCGAAACAACCATCTTCTGCTAAGTGATTTTCATCATCGCATTATTCAATTCCAGATATTATTCCATCACCACATATAGGTTCACATTTCTATCCTTTTAATTCAAAACCTTTCTTACAAAATATGCATCTCCCATATTCACAAAAAAGACAATCTATATTACATTCAAATTTGCATTATTAACATCCTAACTATTCATCATATTTATCATCACAATACTCATCTAAAGCTACTATACCATCTCCACAAATTGATACACATTTGTTCTCTATTAATTCATAACCAATCAAACATTTTTCACATAATCCTTATATACAAATTTCACATTGATCCTAACAATCCAGATTACATTAGAAACATCCATCAAAAGCTTATAAATTATTATCTTCGCATTCTTCATCTTTATTTATTAGCAAATCTCCGCATGTACTGATACATATGTTATATCTCAAAAAGTAGCCTACTTTACATTTTAAACAAACTCCAAATTCACATTAATAACAATTATCAGGGCATTCAAAATTACATTAATTATTACATTTTGGATTTATTTAATCTATTGTAGATGTAAAATCACATTGTTCTTCTCCAATTATTTAATCATCTCCACATTTACTTTCACAAATTAATTTCTATTCATTCCAATACCAACCTTTCTAACATTTAAAACATTATCCATAAAAGCAAATCTCACATTGAGGTTAACATTCTCTACTCATACATTTTAAGTCACTTTACTTAAGTATCAAATCTCTACAATTAGTAATACAATTTAAATATTCTAAATGAAATCCATTTTAACAAACCTTACATTAACCATTTATACAAGTTTGACAATTTTATGTACAAGAATACTAACATTTATAGCATCCATCATATTCAATATTATTACCATCATCACATTATTCTACTTCACTAACATAAGCATCTCCACAAATAGTTTCACATTTTCCATTTTTGTTTAATTCATATCCGATCTAACATTTTAAACAAGTACCTTCAACACAATTTTAACACAATTCTTCACAGTCATAACTGCAAGAAAAGCATCCATCAAAAGAATCTAAATTATCATCATCACATTATTTTAAATGACTTTATTATTTACCACATAGTTGTATACATTCATTTTCATCATCTAATTCATATCCATCTAAGCACTATATACATTTTCCTTAATCACAAACTTTACAATATTCTGCACATGTAATTTTACAACCAAAACATTTGTTCAAAGATATATTTCCATTATCTATTTTTAAATCAATGTCACATTCTTCATCGCCAGCTTTAATGCCATCTCCACAAATTGTTTTACATTATTCATTGTCTAAATACCAACCATTAGTTCTATCACATTCTATACATCCACCATTAATGCAAGTTAGACATTAAGTTTGACAAGAATATTAACACTAATAACAACCATCAAATGGTATTAAATCATCACTATCACATTGCTCATTATTACTCTTAATTAAATCTCCACATTTATTTACACAATTATTTTTTTCAAGATAATATCCCACCTAACACTATGAACATATTCCTAAGGAACAATTTAAACAGTTTTAGTCACAAATTAATACACATTAATTACAAAAATTTGAAATTTCATCACACATTTCTTAATTACTTACTATCAAATCTCCACATTCTGAATAGCATTATTAATCTATATTATTTAAATACCATCCCTCATCAATTTTACATTCTAAACATTTCCCTTTGACACATGTATTACAACCTTCATTACATTATAATTTGCAATTCACACATTCCTTGTTATTATTTTTATTATCATAAATAAAATTATCATTTAGTCCAATATCGCAATCTTCATCCTTTGTCACAAATCCATCTCCACAAATTGAAATGCATTTTTGATTACTTAATTCAAAACCATAATTACAACTTACACAAATTCCATTTAAACAATCAAAACATTCATCATCACAAATATATTAGCATTATTCACAACCATCAAAAATTTATGAATTCTTATCATCACATTATTCATTTTAGCTAATTATGGCATCTCCACAAATACTTATACATGTGCTTGTTTCTTAATCTAAATAATATCCATTTGTTTCTTTGCATCTCTAACACTGTCCTAATACACATAATTCACATTCTTATTGACATTATAAATTACAACTTACACATCTTGTTTAAACATTTTATTCTGCAGAATTTATATCATCACATTATTCATCTTTAGTGATAAATCCATCCCCACAAATTGGAGTGCATTTTTTATTATTATAATTAAGACTGTAACCATTTTAGCACGTTTTACAAACTCCAAAGATACATTAATCACAATTATCATCGCATTTAAAACTACATTAATAACAGCCATCATCAAAAAATGTATTTTTATCATCACATTATTCAAATTTTGATACTATCCCATTTCCACAAATAGGAACACATATATTATTTGAGTCTAAATAATAATTAGATTGACATTGATAACAAATACCAGTAGCACATACTAAACATTCCATTTGGCATTCATATTTACATTGATAACAACCATCTTCAAATGAAGAATTAGAATCATCACATTGTTCTTGAAATTCTGTTAATGTTCCATCGCCACAAACAGGAACACATTTTTATAGTTTTTAGTTTAATGTAAAGCCTGGTGTATTGCATTAATAACATTAACCCAGTATACAATTAGTGCATTAATCTTAACATGAAAATGAGCATTAATGACAACCATCATAAGTAATTAAATTACCATCATCACATTGTTCTTGGAATGCTGTATGTTTATTCCCACATATGGGTAAACATTAATTTGTATGAGAGTATAATTGATATCCAGATAAGCATTTGACACAAATAGACAGAACACAAACATCACAAAAAGAATCACATTAAAATTAACAATTATGACATCCATCAAAAGGAATAATATTGCCATCATCACATAATTCAACTCCGGCTTTGATTCCATCTCCACATTAAGTTTCACATCTATAGAGTATCAAATTTGCATAATATCCTTAGGTATAATCACAACTATAGCATAATCCTTATTAGCAATTGAAGCACTAGGGTTAACATTATTATTAGCAGTTGTAACAAGTTCTAATGGGATAGTTTTAGGTATCTTCGCATTATTCAGAACCTGTGATTATATTGTCTCCACATTTAGGAAAGCACCATTTCATAGTAGTATGTAGAGCATATCCTGCAGAACAGACTGAACATCTTCCATTAACACAAATTGAGCATTCTTTTTGGCACTCATATTTACAATTATTACAACCATCAAATCTTGTGGTATTACCATCATCACAATCTTCTCCATCTGTAACAACCATGTCGCCACAAACTGATTGGCATTTATTATTTATTCCATCATCATAATAGTTGTTTTTACAAATACAAACATTATTGCTTATATATCTGTGTTGAGAATCTTTGCATGATAAACACTCAGTTTTTGTTGGACCATAACAACTAGAACATAAATCATGGCAATTTGCACAAGTATTAGATGTTGTTAAATATGTCCAAGAATAACATAAGCAAATACCATTAGATAAATAAAAATTACTTGCACATTTAGTACATATAGATGCATTTGTACATTCTAAACAATAGACAGGTGAACATTTGATGCAAACAGAGGGAGTAACAGATGTATTAAGATAATAAGTAGAATCTATGCATGAGGTTGGTGTAAGCATTCCAGTTGGTAATGTTGATTTAGTTGTACAATCAGCCCATGTAGGTCCAGTACATGCAGTACAATATTGGGTACACTATTAATGATTAATTAAATATACTTCCAAGATGAGAATGTAATAATCATATATTAAACAAAAAGATTCATTAATGGCTGAAGATGTATGTGCATTACATTTTAAGATTACTTATAAAGTATTAGGTGTAAGATGAGTTTCAGTTCTATCTACTTAGATTTCTCTATCACTTGGTGATGCACCTAAAGTAAAAGCGGAATTTGTTCCTTAAGAATATGTAAGGGTAACTTCTGAGAATCCACCAATTGTATAACGAAAATCTCCTTAAGTGCTAAAGCCATCACCTAAGATAAGTGTAAATTTGATTCTAAATTTATAGTGTGGGTTAATTGTAAAAGTATTTGTAAAGATGGCTTTATTCCAAACAAGTGGACCTCCCAAGACTCTTTTACCTAAGTAATAACTAAAATAGATTGTATTTGTAGTTGTAATAAATGAGTCTGAAGATTTAAAGTCTCCAGTACCTGATGATACAGTGCCTATAATGGCAGGAATATCAGTATCAGTGGTATTAGTAGAATCATAAAAGGCTTTTACTATATATTTAGTATCTAAATTAGAAAGAATGATTACTTGCAATAGGTTCATCTAAATCAATGCATTTACCGGAACTTAATGTTGAATAAGGAGGACAAGATGGTACACATCTATTCTTGTAAAGTAATCCAGTTGAACAAGCATAACATTTTAAATCATAATCACACCAAGAACATGTTGGTTAACATTTCATTACATCTACAACTACATTTCTAAATCCCCAATATTAGGCCCCAACAACACTAATTAAAATTATAATAATACTCCATATTTCCTTATATTGTTAAAATTGGAGATATAATATTGCTTCTTAGTTTTGCTTCCATTCTGTAATAAGTAACAGTTGGATTTGTGCAGTTTGTATCTGTTAATAAGACTTACCCATTTCTATTCTATATTACATTCCCAACAGTATAGATTGAAGCTTATTCATCAGTATCCATAAGTATTCTTATTGTGGAATAATCAGCCCAAGTTCCAAATTTTAATAAGGTTATTCGAAATCTTATATATGTAAGATTGTAAGGTAACGATAATTACAATTTATATCCTTCATTAGAATAAAAGGGTCCTAAATAATTTTTAGTGGTTTAACAAGGAATTTAAGATATTCTTTCAGCATTGATAATATTAAAATTGATTGGATCAGGAACGAATATCCATGGAGAAGCTGTAGTAAATGTAGTTGTATCTAAATATGTTGTTAAGGGTAACATGTCTATAATAATAAATTGAGGTCATACTTTCATTGAATTAACACACGTTATTTGAATCTGGTACTCTGTAATATCTGCATTCAGTAAAACATCCTTTAGAACTATCTAAATACTCTATATATAGATAATTAGTTGGACAGGTAGCACATGTACTTGCAGATGCTAATGTTACTGTAGGATTTGTAAAACAAGCTCTGCATTTATTACTGGCTGAACTTGTTTCACATTTTAAACAAGACCAATGGCACCGATCAACGTATATTTATAAACTTCTTGTTCCATATATTTATCCAGGATTGAATGATCCGCAAACTCTAAATTATAATGAATCATTGTCATTATGATCGAATGTTAGAATGAATGTCTAATACTAATAATTTGCCCAAGCTGCATTACATAAATTTTAATAACTTTGAACACTATTACCTCCTGATCCATTATTTTTATATTGAAATGTCTTTGTAGCAGTGCTTGAAACATTACAATCATACTTTATTGTTATCATGTTATTACCAGCATCGATAAAATATCCATCAACTAAGATTTTAACTTAAAAATGTGGAGGCATATTAGTAACTGTATACATTTATCTAGCATTTGTAGATCCTACATATGAGTATTAGAAACTATTAGTAACACAACCTGCTATTTGAGTGACTACTGTAGCACTTTAAGTCCAATCACATGCTGCACCATAATTCCAAGCAGAATCAGAAACTGTTTAATTCATTAGATCTTCACTTACAAGAGTCAATTAAGACATTGTAAGTGAGATTAGGAAAAGAAAAGAGAATACCTTGCTTTTCATATTATTTTAATCTTAGAAAAAAATTTTAGTGTGACATCATCTAATAAAATAATTTTTAATATAATTATGAATAATAATATAAAAATCTGTCAATTATCTTATGCTTATTTCTGCTACATTATAATTTAATAAATTTGATCTGCATCAATGGCTGAATAGATTGGATTATCTTAACTATCTCCATAATCATCTTCATCTTCTTTATCAAAAAATTTAGTGTAACATCCTGGAAATACTTCTTTATCTATTTTAATTTTCCCTCTAACAGTTTTAATTTTATCATCTTTTTCTTATTTCATAATTTCAATTTTCTTTTTTTCTATCAATTTCATTTGTTTTTTAGCTAATAAAGCTGTTCTTTTAGAAGTAGGTTTTAATTTTTCAGATTTCTATTTATCTTTATTGTTCATAATATCCATAACATCAACAAGTAAATCACTTTTTAATGTTGCTTTCTATATTTTAGCTTCATTATACCAATCATAAAACGTTTGATTCTAATCAGTATTACATACACAATATATTGGACTCTATTTAATTTCTTCAATATCAGCTTTAGTAAAATTGGTACCACCTGTAACTTTATTAATTTCTTATTCCGTTCTAAGTACATCTTCATCTTCCGTATTTTCTGGACTTGAACTAAGTAATAGTGCTTCATCCCATCTTTTAACTTTAGTTGGTTTTTTATATTTTTTCTTTTTTCTTTCATCCATTTTAATAAAATCTGGAGTTTCATCAGATGGTTTTAATTCATTACAAGCAATCAATACAATCAGATCAATAATGAATATATTTTATAGAACTCTAGCAAACTTTTCAGGAGTAATCATTTTCTTTAATTCTTCAGTAATTACTTTATAATCTTCTTTATGATTATCAACTACATAAGTAAGTAATTTTATAAGCATTTAACAACTTTATATAATTTCTCTTGCAGATTGATCTTTAACACTAGATGGTTCTCTTGCATTAATTTCTAATATTCTTTTTTTAGTTGTATCTCTCATATTTTCTATTTTCGGTTAATTGTAAGCAACCATTTTCCCCATCATTCTATTTAGATCAACTAATTTAAATTAGAAATGAGCATAAAATTTTTAACTCAAGAAACATTTATCTCTTATTTAATCAATAGCTTCATATTCAGCTTTAACAGCATCCCAATGACATTTATATTTAACACATATATGCCAATGAGTAACAGTTTCTTCAGCTGAGAATATTTGTCTATTAATTTTTGGATCAATAGCTCTCCATCTTGCTTATACCATTGGTTTATGAGGAATAGAAAGACCATAAATAGTTTTCATTTATCTAGTAATTTCTGCCCATTTAGCTTCACCAAGTGTACCAACTAATTCAGTCAGCACTTCATCAAACTAATATTAGCATTAATATATACTCTTGGTGTGTATATAGGATTATGTTTAGGCATAAACTGGCTTTCGATTATGTTTGTAAATTAACCCAAATTAAAAGAAGGATAATGTAAATGTCCTTTAATATTTTTCTCCCTATATATGAATAATAAATATATATATTTAAGAATAATAATATATATATCAATTAAAATTAATATATATATAAGTGAACAATATTAATCATTTTCTTTAATAACAAGTTTAATTAGTCATTTTCATATATTTTATGTAAAACTTCATCACTTAAAGCATATACTTCTTATAATTTTACCTTTTCTTCTATTTGATTTAGTTTCATCTAAATTCTTACAATGATCCTGTGACTGTATTACTAGTATTTTAAGAATCTTTCAAAAACATTCTTGACTTTAGCTAAAACAGTAATGCAGCTTCTTCTAACTTAAAAATAATTTTAAATCTTACAGATAACTTGTCAGACATCCACTTAAATCATTTTTAATATTCTAATAACTTATAAAGCAACATTATATTATTATTTCATTATAATTGATCTTCTATCAATATCTGCTAATTTCTAGATTGCCTATCCTCAATAATCTGTTGCTTTTCATTTATTATTCTTACAATTTATTCTATATTCAACTCCTATTTATTCTCTTTTTTTCTTTGCACTTGTCCATGCCTTATAATTTAATTTATTCACTTTAATAAAGCATCTATTTTAGCATAATTCAATCTTGCTTCTCTTTAAATCATACTATAAATTATTAACATCATTTAATTCAGTTCCTATCTTTTATAATTAAACTTAATTTCAAATATATTTTTATCCTCAATTTATTTAACATTTATTCATTCCACTGTAATGATATTACTAAATAATTATAACAACAATTAGAAAATATCGATATCCAATCTTTCTATTTACTTATTAGACATAGAAGAATATTGATTTATTTATTATTAGATAATTATAAAATAAAAAGATAAACTGTATTACATTATTACTATTTAGATCATAATAATCATATTTCTTAGTTTACTTCATAAACAATATTTTCTTAATTTCTCTAAATTGTCTACTTTCATTAATTTCCCATATTCCTATATTAAATCGAATTTATATTTGTAAGCATTTATTTTTAAAAACTTTTCTAAATCCTATCCATTTACTAAATATAATTTAAAATATCTTCTTAAATGAGATATTCTTTTGCCATCATTACTCATTTCATCCTTCATTACNTAAACTGGCTTTCGATTATGTTTGTAAATTAACCCAAATTAAAAGAAGGATAATGTAAATGTCCTTTAATATTTTTCTCCCTATATATGAATAATAAATATATATATTTAAGAATAATAATATATATATCAATTAAAATTAATATATATATAAGTGAACAATATTAATCATTTTCTTTAATAACAAGTTTAATTAGTCATTTTCATATATTTTATGTAAAACTTCATCACTTAAAGCATATACTTCTTATAATTTTACCTTTTCTTCTATTTGATTTAGTTTCATCTAAATTCTTACAATGATCCTGTGACTGTATTACTAGTATTTTAAGAATCTTTCAAAAACATTCTTGACTTTAGCTAAAACAGTAATGCAGCTTCTTCTAACTTAAAAATAATTTTAAATCTTACAGATAACTTGTCAGACATCCACTTAAATCATTTTTAATATTCTAATAACTTATAAAGCAACATTATATTATTATTTCATTATAATTGATCTTCTATCAATATCTGCTAATTTCTAGATTGCCTATCCTCAATAATCTGTTGCTTTTCATTTATTATTCTTACAATTTATTCTATATTCAACTCCTATTTATTCTCTTTTTTTCTTTGCACTTGTCCATGCCTTATAATTTAATTTATTCACTTTAATAAAGCATCTATTTTAGCATAATTCAATCTTGCTTCTCTTTAAATCATACTATAAATTATTAACATCATTTAATTCAGTTCCTATCTTTTATAATTAAACTTAATTTCAAATATATTTTTATCCTCAATTTATTTAACATTTATTCATTCCACTGTAATGATATTACTAAATAATTATAACAACAATTAGAAAATATCGATATCCAATCTTTCTATTTACTTATTAGACATAGAAGAATATTGATTTATTTATTATTAGATAATTATAAAATAAAAAGATAAACTGTATTACATTATTACTATTTAGATCATAATAATCATATTTCTTAGTTTACTTCATAAACAATATTTTCTTAATTTCTCTAAATTGTCTACTTTCATTAATTTCCCATATTCCTATATTAAATCGAATTTATATTTGTAAGCATTTATTTTTAAAAACTTTTCTAAATCCTATCCATTTACTAAATATAATTTAAAATATCTTCTTAAATGAGATATTCTTTTGCCATCATTACTCATTTCATCCTTCATTACATTCAAATCCTTTAAAATCATTTAAATCTTTTTTGCATTAAAATCTTTCTATCTTATAAATTGTGCTTTCAAACTGGCTTTAAATATTGTCCAAAAATCTGCTGTTATTATTTTAAACTAAATCATCATTATTTATTATTACTGTTTCATCTTAAATACTCTCTTTTAATGTTGATGAAAAGTTTATATATTCAAAATTAAATTCCTATATATTTGTCATCAACAAATGTCTCATATGAAATTCAAATCGCAAAACTAAATATACATCAAATTAAACTAAAAATATTTCATTGCACAATTTTAAGAATCTATAAAAAGACTATTAAATATTATCATTAAATTATATACTATTTTATAATTATATATTTTTACTCCATCGCATTCTTATTCTTAAATTAATCCATTTAAAAACTTTGTTATTCACATCTTAATTAAAATATCTTTAGTATTTACAATTTTACATCCTACTAATCTATTGGAACATCCTTTTATTATATATCTAATTATTTTATTAAATATTATTAGTCTCTATAAAACCTATTTAAATTCTATACATTCTATTCAAATATCCCTAAATCGATTACAAAGTAAAACATAAAAAAGCATGTATATTTTCATGTAATGCTCCTAAAGTGTGTAAAACTTCCTTTGATCTAATTAGAGGACTCGTTTTAGATTCATCAATCTGATTCACTAAATATTCCATATATCCTTGATATATTGGTTATTTCAATTAAAATCTATATTGCTTATCCGTTTTAGCCTTCTATAATCTCTATTAAGTATTTATTCCATCATTCAATAATGGATTTGATTATTAAAATTTACACTTCCATTCCATATATGATAATAATTTCTTTTATAACCCTTACTTATCTTAATTATACATCAGTAACTCTGATTACGAACCTTAAATTAATGATTTTAATTTTATTCTTATTTCTTGAAGATATACATTCAAAATCCAATTCAAAATTTGGATATAATCAACTTGAAGATTTGTAATTTAATCTATTACATTTAATTCATGTATTAAATAACAAAATTATGTAGACTCGGGAATCTACATCTTTAAATTAATCAATTAAAAGTTATTTAGCATTTACTTTAATTATTAATCCTAAACGTCATAAATTAATTAATAATTTAATTATGGAATAAATGATTTGTTCTATCTTTTAGGTAATGAAACTATATTTCTAATTACACTCTTTGCTCCCTCATTTAATTGCTTTATACAATCTATATAAATGCTTTTGCTTAATTCTTATTGTAATTAAATTTCGTTATCTATAGGCTCTTTAAATATTGGTTCCACTCTCATAAACACTTTTAATGATTCTATACATTACAATAAAACTTCATCCAATAAGTGTCTTTATAATAAATAATAAAGAGGACTAGGTTTTATTAATTGTTAAAGAGTTGTTTGAATGAATAAATGAAATTCATTTCTAACATCCAAAACATCTCTACCTTTATTCTATTCACTAATTTTAGCTGACTTATAAAACATACTCAATACTACATTGATCTACCAAAACAATTATCTGCACAACTCAGATAATGATAGTAAAAGTGTATTTTCATCAACATCAACATTTAAGCAATGTAATGCTTTTCCAAATAAAACTTATTTTCTTAAAATAATCATTGCATATGCAATCAGTTTTTTAAAAAATTAACTAATAATCTTATAAGTTGTAAAACTACTAAAATTTAATTCTCCAAATAACGAAATTTTAATATTATCATTTGGATTCTATCTTTTAATGAATATTGTTAAAGATTTAGTAAATAAATCTTACATATTGTATTTGAAATCTTCAAAATGTTTATTTAATAATTCATTAGTTTTTTTAATTATTGTACATCCTTTGATACATAAAAATATATTTAATAAACTGCTTTATTAAGAGTTGATATTTAAATTAATATCCCCATTTTTCGAAGTATTAATATCGATATATTATTTCACTTAATCAAAGTCACTAAATTAAAAACTCACTTGTATAAACTTTTTTAATTAATTATAAGATATTATTAATTCATTACTACTTAACTATTAATCAATTAAACACAATTCTAATTCATCATCATTTTATAATGTTACATCTGGTAGATTTATTTTGATAAATTGTAAGATTTCATTCAAAGATTTTAATTCTTTCACTTTCTTCTCTAAATCATAATACTTTTATGCATCATTGCTTTTTAAGATTGATCCTCTTTACAAAAAGAAAAACTCTTTTAATTAATTCTAAAATTCACCCAAAATCTATGAAAGTCCTAAATTAAACCCTCTATTCACATATTGCATTTAAAAAGAATCTTGTTTTGGGAAATTAGTTATTAATGACTTTATTTTTCTGCATTCTACACTACCTTCATAAGGTTAATTTAATGCTTAAGTTTATATCAATTTTATAGATGATCTAATAGTCTTCAATTTATTTAAAGTGGAAATGATTTCCTTATAATAAATATTCTAATAATAAAAATGTTTCAGTTCGGCTGATTTCGAACTTAGTAATTCTTTGCTATTTTATAATCTTTTCCTATTTCTCTTTACACTTTGGTATAATTCTTCATAAGCTTTCTACATATTATTGTTATTTTACTCCATAAATTTAAGGTTTATTTATCATTGGATTAAATTCATTATATCTCTTATCAATAATTTATGCAATTATTTCTTCGCATTAATTTTCTTTCTTTGTCATCTCTTAATAAATTTCTTCTATCTAAAACATAATTTATATTCAATACATTCTTCTTAGTAATAAGCAACTAAGCAATATGTCTTGTTGTACTAAAATTGGGCTCTTACAAACCAATATTATCTTATTTCAAGAAATCATCAATAATATTAAAAGACATATAAATTTTTATAATTAATACAATTTTTCATTTATTTTGTTTTTTTATTTTAAACAAATCTAAACAAATCTAAATACATATAAATAAATAAAAATAAATTTGAAAAATACTCAATAAGTCATTCCTTTTATAATATTATTTTTATGATTTACAATTAATAAATAGATGATAAATTTAAATAGTAAATGATTAAATCAATAATGGAAAAAGATCAAGTAGAATTTCTTTATTGAGATTAATCTGTTGTTCTGGAAAACTGTTTGGCAAAACCACTTAAAACAGGTTCATTTAAATGATTTGAACGTTAATTTCTGCTTTGATATAAAATGACTAATGCTTAATCATGAGCATTGTTGTTATGATCTACATTTTTTATATATTCTTCTAATTTAACCATAGTATTTGTTTACTTCTTAAATTCTTTTCTAGATGAACAACTTCCCATTTTGAATGTTAGCTTTAAATAAAATAAAAAAAATATTTATAATATTTTCAATAAATTATGTAGAATCGTCTTGCTCAATTTGGTTAACAATCAATAATTCCAATTTAAGCTACTGGAAAGTATGGTGATTAATTTTTTGATTTGCCTTAAGTTAAGCCTTTTTCTCTTAAATTATTGAAAGCTAAAGGAAGGCCTAACTAAAATCCATTTAAAAAGAATATAAGAGATGAAATCAATTCTAAAGAAATTGATATGGATAAACCTTTTTTTGAAGTTTTTAATCATCCAAATCAAAATTATTTAAAGATCATAAATTCTGAAGAATTAAGACCTTAGATAATATATTATTATCATTCTCCTAATATATCATAGAATGAATAAGTAATAGTAGATAAAGATAATGCTGATTTAGTAGAAAGAGCAATTAAAAATTAACATGCTGATATTAGAAAATTAGAAGTAATTTAATAAAGGATATTATTAAAAGAGAAACTATAAAAGGAGATTAAATAAGAAATGTAGAAGAAATTCAAATAAAAATAGGAATAAGAGGATGATATAAAATTACCCTCTTAAAATCTAAATTTTAATTATAGCAGCAATTTTATTGCACAAAAACCTTAAAATTATGATTAAGCTCTTCAACAATCAAAGAGTTAAATTACTTTGTAATCCTAATTTAAAGATATTTAAGAAAGTTTGTATGAGCTTTAAAGAATTTAAGAATAAAATAAACAAAAAGAAATACTGAAGAAATAACAAGAGGAAGAGTCCTTTAAATAGAAAATAGAATCAGTTTAAAGGTATGGTTACAAAAACTGGAAATGCTCATCTTAAGAATTAAGAGCTTTAATCTAAAAGGATAAATTAAAGAAACATATTTGAGGATAAATACTAAATTTATAAACTTTTTTCTATATTTTTGATTTATTAGACATTTATGATAATTTTATTTTAATTTTTCTTATATGAATTAATTAATAAGTTCATTTTTTAGAAAGATACTTTTCCATTAACAACTTCTTTTATAACAATTAAAATAAATCATGGAAATTAAAAAAAGCTCTTTCAAATTGAAAATAATTAAAATTTAATATAAGACTTTAAGAAAGAGGCATTATTTATACCTTTGAAATATTAGTTGAAATTATTTTGTTTAATCAATGAGAAAAAGGAAAAAACTTAAACTCTGTGAATTATAAATTAATTTTTCATCAAATATATTACATATAAATTACATGAGTACCAACAGAACAGATAATGGTCTCTTATAGGATTGCTATTTTGGGCCATCAATAGAGTAATCAGAAATAAATATGTATAAAAAAAATTCCTCTTCAAGAAATTCAATCACTTCAGAAACAAGTTAGAAGGAAATAGTAAGAATGAATTAAAGTCCACAAAAAATTGGTATTGCATCAATTAATTATCAAATTTTGAAAGCTAAGTAATAATTTGTAAAGAAAAGTAAAAATCTATAGGCATCTTAAAGTAATTTTATCAAGGTAAGTAGAAGAAATGTATTTGAAGGAAATACATCATAAATTGATAAAATAGAAAAAACAAATAAACAAGAAACATTTAATTTTATTAAAACAATAATAAAATCGAACTTGATAAAAAAATTTAAACATAATTTACTTTCTTCATCTTATGTTTTACCTTTTGGAATGAAAAAAATATTAGAAAATGAAGGATACTTATAAGATTACAAAGAAAGAGCAAAATCTACAAATCAGGTGTTTGATTTTCAGTATTTTATTTTTTTATTCAAGACAATAAAGCCATAAACTTCCTAAAAAAAATCAAAGGTTAATTAATCTATTAATGCCAGATAGAAATTTTACCTTAGTTTGGGATTTGTTTTCATTGCTAATTTTATTTCTAAGTCTTTTATTAAGTACTTTGATAGCTTCTTTTGGTTAACATTTAAATAATATTAAACCTACAGAAATCATGATAAACCTATACATAATTTTGGAGGTTTTGTTTTCAATTTATCGTCCAATCATGGTGAATGGGGAAGTTGTATTTGATATGTCATAAATATGGGATAATTATCTAAGAACTTAACTTTTAGAAGATGTGATCAGTTTTACTATATGGTTTTTAGTTTATTTTGATTTTGATAAATAGATATATCTTAATGAGATCATGGCAATTTTATAATTTTTGATAACAATTAGGAAGATAAATCGAAAATATAACATTTTAATAGAGCAATTATATTTAAAAGGGTTTAATAGTAATCTTCTGAATATAGTTACTTTAGTAATTATAATTTGTTTTTTTGCTCATACAATGGCATGTATGTGGCATCGTGTAGGAGATATTACTTAAAATTATGGATCTTGGCTTGTTTACTATAATATTATTGATGATACATTATGGGTTAGATATAATTACTCATTTTATTGGGCAACAATGACTATGGTAACTGTTGGATATGGAGATATTACACCAAAAAATTAATTTGAAGTTACTTTTGCAACAATAATGATGTTATCTTCAAGTTGTATGTTTGCATACACAATGAATTCTATAGGAGTTATTGTTAAAACAATTTATGATTAATAAACAAAGTTTAAGTAAATAAATTATATATAAAATTATAGACGAACTTTGATTTTAATGAATTAATTCATGTCTAAAAATGAAGTTGATTAATAAATATAAAGAAGAGTAAAAAATTACATTAAATATAATATTGAAAATGATATTCTTGAAAATTAGGAAGACACTACAAGATTAGTTGATGAATTACCACAAAATCTAAAAAAATAAATTCAATAGGATATTTAATATAGGATAATCTAAAAAATTAAAGTTTTCACTGATAATTTCTCATTATCAACATAAAATAAGGTTAAAAATATTTTAGTTGAAGTGAAATCTACACCAAATGATTTTATTTATCATAGAAATGATAATAAAAATAAAAATTTGTAAAATTATATATAAAACTGTTAGGTATTTCATTAAAGAAGGAGAAGTTTAAATTATAGAAGAACAAAGTTAGAAAATTATAAAGGTTTTAAAAGCAGGTGAAACATTTGGAGAATTTTAATTTTTTACAGGCTAAAATATTAAAGAATCTATTATTAGTGTTGGATTCACTTAATTATTTAAAATAGATAGAGAACAATTTATTTCAATAATAAAATAGAACTCAAAAGATTTTGAGAGATTTCATAAAATAAAAGACTGTATACTTTATTCAAAATTATTCTCAGTTGTATAACTAAAATGTTAATTTTGTGGTTAATCCACTCATATTTAAATAGAATGTCCTTTTATGACATATTAACCTAATTTATATCTGAAAATATTGAAAATGAATTAAACATAAATAAATTATAGGTTTTATTAAAGAAGATCTGGTGAAAAAATCAAATCTATCATGATCTTAGAACTAATCTAAAAAGCTATAAAAGAGTTTTAAGAAGATTATGCAGCTTCTCTTAATACAGATAAAATGATAAATTATTAAATATCAAACTCTTTAAGTTATATATAAGACTCTCAACAGATGTTAGATTAAAAATTATCAAATAAGTCAATTTAGAAATAAGATTAAAATAGAAAAACATCTTCTGATAATAGAAGGGATTCTCTTTTTCTTAAAAAAATTGATAGTGATAAATACAATAAATCGTAATTAATTATTAAAAAGAGACCTTCATTAATAGAGGATGAAAAAAAAAAAACACTTATAAAAGGGACATTGATTTTTTAATAACTAGATTAATTTCAAGAATTCTTTCAACATATACAATAAGAAGGATTTGATAAAATTCATAATTATACAGAATATTAACCTCACAATAATTTCAATAATGTAATAAAACAACTATACAAAGAAAAAAATAAATTTAAAAATACAAAATAATTAAGAAGAGAATAAAGTAGAAGAGATTAATGAAAGTTTAAATTTATTTAAGTATCTAAAACATATAGCTTTTATTTTAGATAAATATATATAAATCAGATAAATAATTTAGATAAAATTAAAAATACTCATTATTTTTATTATTATTATTATTATTATTATTATTATTATTATTATTATTATTATTATTATTATTATTATTATTATTCTAAGACTGCTTTAGCTGCTGCTTAGACATAAATTTTATCAAAAGCAAGAACATTTCCAGCAACTTAAAATCCTTCTTTACTAAGTTCACTAGCTTAATCACCATATTTATTTTTAATAATCTAGATTAATTAATATATAATTTAAATTACTTCAGTAGTAGCTTAACCTGTACAATCTAAAAGAACACTTAAAGCTTCAGTTAATCCATCATAAATGCTTACAACAGCAACTACTGCAGCTCCACCAAGATTTTTAGCATCATCATAATATTTGTGTTCTTGCATTTTCTTACCTGTTTCACTATTTTCAAATTATTTTTCTGCTTCTTCAGCAATCATTTTTCCCAAATTAATTAATGCATCAACTTAAGCTTTAGTAAATTAAAGTATAGCTTTAGAGCCTTTATTTACTAATTTAACTTTGTTTAATGTGTCTTCAGAAACTTCTTTTTATTCTTTATCAGTAATCTTTTCAGCAATAAGTTCTCCTCCTTTTTTAATTCCTTCTCCTATAAATCCAGCTACAGATATTAAACCTTATCTAATAGCATTTCCTCCTTATTTAATATAATCACTTACTCCAGGAGGTTTCTCACCTTATCCAACATGATCCCATAAATTTACTTGCATTATTCCAGTTCGCAACATTAATTCTTATTGAGACAATTTTTATTATTCATTTAATTATTTCATTTCATTTCTTCCTTAATATATTGATTTAGACATAACACTTTAATGTTGTTTTTGTGAAGAAACAACTAGTCGAACATTTATTGAAAGAATATGCTCAAATGTATCAGATACCTAATCTTATTTTTCTATGATAATTCCATAAAATATTTCATTAAGACCAGGGAATATGTACATCTTGCTACCATTAACTAGTTAAGCAACCATAATAGGAATATTTTTTTATAATGTATATTAGAATGAGCCAAATTTTAAGAAAGATAATTTAAGTTATTCAGATTAGTAAATCTAATAGAATTAGTGTTAAAATTACTTATAATGTGCCAGTATCAACTTATTTTGGTTATTGTGTTTTAATTTCAAATAATTTGGATTAAGGAACTTCTAATAATAATTATAATTGATAATCCATTATATTTTTTTAATTAAAATAATTAATTAAGAATGAAAAATATTTTCATATCAGGGGGATGCAATTCTGTATATAATGGTTTGGATGTTTGTTAATTTGAACCAAATTAGCATTTGATTGCATATCCTTGTAGTAATTAAGTAATTAGATGAATATGTTAGATATTAGTATATGACATTGAGAAATTGAAGATAATATATTCATATTCAATTTTTAATAAGAGAGTGAATTATGTAAGATTTTTGAATGGGAATACATTGATAGCTGCAGATGGAGAAGGTAAGATAGCAATTTTGAATGATTAATAAGTATTAAATGAGAGAAAATTAAATGAATCAATATAAGTGTTTAAAGTTATTGATAATTACATAATAACATTATCTATTGATGGTTTGGTAACAGTATTAGACTTAGAATTGAGAGAACTATCAAAACTTGAATTTGGTAATAATGTAATGGAGAATATTGATGCAATAGTATTTGATAACCATAAGTTAATAGCATTAAGTGGTGTGGATACTCAAATTCACTTATATATATTGGAGAATAATTAATTATAATATAAGACATCAGTGAGAGGTCATTAAAGAAGTTTAAATCATTTATAATTTAATTTGAGAGATGAAAATAATTTATAATTAGCAAGTGCATCTAAAGATACTTATACTAGAATATGGAGTATTTATAAGATAGATGAAGTTGAGACAAAGATAAAATCTTTTAGAATAGATTAATAGTTGTATAGTTTTAAGTTGGAAACTATTCTTTAAGGACATATAGAGGAAGTTTCATCAGTAAATTGGTTGGATGAAAATACAATTTTGAGTGGGTCATTTGATTATAATGTAATAATTTGGAAATAAGATAAAGAAACTGGATTATGGTTAAGTGTGTCAAGATTAGGATAGACAAGTGGGAATAAGAATTAAATATTTGGATTATAAACATCATTTGATAAGAAATATATAGTAAGTTATTCATTGACAGGTGCAATATATATATGGAAATAGGAAAAAGAAAATTGGATAGAATAACCAGTTATAACGGGTCATTATGCAGAAGTTACTGATTTAGATTTTAAAGATTATTTATTAACTTGTAGTATTGATTAAACAAGTAGAATATTTGCAAAATGGATTGAAAATGATACATACCATGAAATATCAAGACCTTAGATACATGGTTATGATTTAAATGCTATTAAATAAATTGGGAATTAAATTATAAGTGGAGGAGATGAAAAAATATTAAGAATGTTTAATCCATCACCTTTCACTATTAATTAATTGAATTATTTAAATGAATAGAATATCAATTCATCAATATTTTTGAATTAAAATATACCTTCATAAATTGTGACATATAATAATAGATAATTTAATGAATTTAAATTAGCAACTGAAGGTATTTAATAAGCACTTGGATTAATGAATGTATAGATGTAATTTGAAGATGAAGATGATGAGAAGTAATTCTTTAAGTTTTATATTATTGTAGTATTAAAGGTAATAATAATGATGAAGATTTAAATTTAGAAGTTAGATATGGAAAACCTCCAAATGATGCTTTACTTGCTAAGAAATCTTTATGGCCTGAAACAAATAAATTATATGGACATGGATATGCTATCTCAGCTATTGCTATACATTAAAATATTGCTGCTTCATCTTCTGTAGCGATTACATCTAAAGCTGCTGAAATTATTATCTGGGATACAAACACATTCAAAATCAAATAATTACTATCTTGTCATAATTATACTGTTGTCTAATTGGTATTCTCTAAAAGTGGCAAATATTTAATTAGTGTAAGTAAAGATAGATGTTTGGGAGTATTTATTAAATAAGATGATAACAATTATTAATTATTATCAAAATCATAACCTTGTTCCAGAATTATTTATACATGTTCATTTAATAATGATGAAAATCTTATATTCACTGGAAGCAGAGATAAGAAATTTAGAATCTATAATACTTTAGAAGCTTCCCTCCCTATTAAAGAAATTGATTTCCCAGATGAAATCACTGCTATTGATTCAGTTTTTCTTGATGATAAATAAATTGTTGCTATAGCATATGCTTAAGGACAATTATCAATATATGAATTTACCTAAACTCTTGAATTAAATTTAATCTCAACTGTTGATAAATATCATTAACATTCAAAAACTATTAATAGAGTTTAATTTAATAATCATTTACTTGCATCATGCAGTGATGATCACACAGTCAGAATATTTCAAATATGAAAATTAAATTATAAGCAACAATTAATTATAATTATTATTTTTATTCCTTATCTTAAATTTTCAACTTAATTCAAAATGCAATCATATCTTCTATCTTTAATTTTCTATTCATTTTTTATTATCTAATCATATACAAAATTTATTAATTAAAACTAAATTTTAACAATGTGATTTTAACATCAATGATTCACATTAATCAAACAGAAAATACAAATAATTCTAACAATAGCCAATACTATTTTTATTTAATCAATAAAACAAATTATTAATTATAATTTATATTATAATAAAATTATTTAAAACTTTTTTGTTATATCTTATTTCTCAGATTAAATGAAAATTACTTTAGAAGGAGTATTATAAAATATTTGTTAGTTACCTTCAAAGTCTAGGAGTAAAACTTAATAATAATAATATTAGATTTTTATATTTATTAATTAATTTAATCTATATAGTATTACATAAATTAATGAAATTTGGTAGTGTATTTAATCCAAGAGGTGTCCTGGAAATAAACTATAAGATATCATCTATAGATGCTAATCAAAATATCTTATACACAGGAGATGAAAAAGGCATATTATATAGGTAAAGGGATAAAATTGAATTAGATACCAATTGTAACCTGATTAAGCCATGATTATTTAAGCAAGCTAACCATTATCTAAATAATTAACTAAATCAAGGATTGATTAAATCAAAGTGTTTCCACAGGCAAATGCTAATCTTTTGGTTTTATCAGATTAGACTTTATATTTGGTTGAAGAAAAAACTCTAAAAGGTGAATAAGTTTCAAAAGAAAAAGTATCCCTATTTGCTTTAAACGAATTTTACAAAATAAATTAATTTGAGATAATAATAGTGACTAAAAAGAAAGAAGGCTTTATTTTGAGTTATACTTAGAAAACAGGAAAATTTGAATGTATGAGAGAGAAATTCTTGTTACCAGATATACCTGTTACAATTGCTTTTATAGGAAATCTATTTTATTTTGGATTGTAAAAGAAAAATTATTCTGTGATTAATCTTGATGACAAACAATTATAAGTAGCTAATTTATTAATAGATATTGGCAATAATCCATATCTTAAAGCAACTGATAATGATGAAATATTGATTGTTACAACAAATAATATAGGTATTTTTATTGGTAAGGATGGTTAGATGAAATAAAAAAGCACAATCTAATTATAAAATAAATCCATTTAGATTATAACAATTTTTAAGTAATACCTAATAGTATTATTTGATAATTTAATACAAGTTTTCAATTTATCAGATTCTAAACTTATGAGTGATATTTAATTATCATCATCAGCTAAATGTATTACTTAAACTTCAAATCATTTATTCTATGGAAGTTCTAGTGAAGTAAAAAATAATTATCAATATGTTTTTAGATCATTTACTTATATCAAACACCTCCTGAATAATAAATTTAAGATTTACTTAAATAGGGTAAAGTTGAAGATGCACTTTAAGTATTTTAATAATATAATTAAAATTCTGATGTATCAAGAAATTAATAATTAGAATAATTAAAATTGGATTGTGGTTGGGCACTTGTTAGATAGATGTAATTTTAAAATTCTTAGAATTATATATTGTAAACAAACTTTGAACCTAGAGATTTTATTTGTTTATTTCCAGACTATTATTATGCAGTTGAGAAGCTAGAATCAGTTAATTAAAATCCATCTCTAAATACAATTTCATTAATTGTTGCTAAATTTGTTTAGGATAATTATAAAGGTGATCCAAAGAAAAGTTAAGAATATAAATTATAAGCAAGAGATTTTTTGATAGAAATTTTAGAGAAGAAAAGAAGTGTTTTAACTTCAACTTAATCTGCATATTCTATGAAAGATAAATTAACATTATTGACCAGTACTTAGAATTTTAATTAAAATTAATGGCATGCAATACCATGTGAATAACTTTTGGAATTAATAGATTTTGCATTAATAAAGGCTTATTTAGAATCAACATAATTATAAAAATTAAAAAGTTTCTTGTCTAGTAATTAAATATATTGTTTATCAATGTATGCTGAATTATAAGCTATAATTTAAACTAATAAAGCAATAGAATAACAACAAAGTATTTTGGCTAGATTTTATGAATCATTTAATAAAATTGATTTGTCTTTAGAAGTATGGAGAACAATTGGTGGAGATTCATTAAATTAATAGGTATAATAAGAAGCATGTGAAGAAACAACTAGAATACTTAAATAGAATCCTGATAAAAATAGAATATTTAAATTTATTTTATGGGTTTTTAAAAAACAAATTAAAACTGGAATTCAAATATTTTATGTTAGTGAAAGTGTAATTACACCAGATTAAATGATTAAATTTTTGGATGAATAAGAAATGGAGTAAGATTTAAAGAAGAAATTAAAAGAAAAATATTTAGAAGTTTTAGTATTAGAAAAATAAACAGAAGAAGAAAGATTTCACACTCAATTAGCTTATTCATATATTGATTCTTTATTTGCCATATATCCAAAGGATATGTAGCCTACATAAATTGATATGAAGAAAAATTAAATTGCAACAGAAATTTATTAAGCATTAAAAAAGTTCTTAAAAAATCCAAATGCAAAATATAATTCATCAAGCATTTTAGAAAAAAAAGTAAAAGACTCATGGATGATTCATGAAATTATCTTATTATATGGAAGAGAGAAAAGACATGAAGAGGCATTGAATCTATTACTTAATCTTGGATTGTATGATTAGGCTGAAAAATATTGTTGTGAATATACTGATAATTTATTAACAAAGCTCTTTAAGAAAGTATTAATGTCTTATAAATTAAGTATAAAGATTTATATTCCTTTTTTGAAGGGAAATATAAAGAAAGACCCACAGATCAATAAACATCTTTCACATTTAATTAAATTAAAGTATTAAATTTTCATTCCAAATTTAGATTACAATCAATAATTTTCTGAAAAAATATGCAACTCATTCTTAGTTAAATGCTTTGGAAGTATTAGAAATTATACCAGAGAATTGGATATTAGCTGATTAAGGTGAAGATGATGGATTATTTTAATTTTTGAATAGTGTAATAAGTAATTATTTATTATATTTGTAGGTCATACATTACATTAAAAAAGATCAACGAAAGCTGCATTTCATTTATCTGATATGGATTTACTGAATGTTGAATGTTTGAATGCTAGCACCAAGCAAGCAAATGTAAGAATCACATCAGAAAAGAAATGTGCTGTTTGTAGTAGATCTATTGGTGAAAAAGTATATATTTTTTTTAAACCTTTTAATAGGTATTTGTGGTTTATCCAAATGCTGTTATTGCACATCATACATGTATAAGGAGTAATACTATATGTCCATTATCTGATAAAGATTTTGAAAAGTATTTTAAATTGTGAGTATTGAGTTTATCAGATAATTTAAACAATTATATTTTAAACTATCTTTTGTATTAAAATTTAAAAATTATTTGTTAATTAGATATTAATTCATTATGAAATTCTTCTCTATTAATCTAAATCAAGGATCAAAGCGATAACTTGGTTAAAATTTGTTATCGCATCATATCCAAAATCGCTATAAACATTTTAATTTATTTCGCTGATATTTTTATCATTCTCAACATAAGTTTTATTTTGCTATAGGATTTTAATGTGACAAAAAAAAATTGAAAAAACAATAATTATTTAATGTACCCGAACTCATTTTAGAACTACATGAACCCTACCTAAGGACAATACTTTCCATAATGCTATCCTCAGTACTATTATCCTGTTTAAAATCCATATTATTCACAATATCAAATGATGTAGGCCAGGCCTGTTCTTATATTTAAAAAGAAGGTTGATCCACTTAAATAAGAAGAGGAGAGAGTTGAAACTTAAAAATCTGTTCCAATTGTGGATTTCGAGAAAACTTCAGAACATGTTTAAACACCTTTAGTTTAAATCTAATCTGATGATAAAGGAAGCAATTTGAAGCCTAATTTATTGGTCGATTCTACAAATATTCAAAAAAATTTCTCTAAAGCCATAGTATAATATGCTTTGAGACAAAAAAAGACAGTTTATGAAATTCTTGGAGAAGAAAAAGGAAATAAATTTCTTTTGTTCATGAGTGAACTTGTAAATCAACTTAGAAATCTATTTCACCTAGTAAAATACACATAGGATGAAGAATATTTAAAACTCATTAGAATTTTAGGGTATATTTTTTTTAGTTATTATAGTAATAACTTTTTAAGGAAAGAAAGTACATGTTATATTTATAATTCAAAAATAAGATAAAAAACTAGTCACATTAAGCACAAAGCAATAGTAAAAAAAGTCCTATTAAAACTTTGAAATTTACAATATTTTTTTTCTATATATGAACCCAGTATCTTAATTTGTCAGAAATTAAAATAAATATTTAAATACCAATTTTTTTTTGTTTTATAACTTATAATCTAATTAATCTATTTTATACAATATTTTATATGAAGTAGAGAATGTATTTTAACCTAACTCAATATTAATACAGATCTATAAGATCTAAAATGTTATCAATTTAATATTTTTCTCTTTAAATGTGCTAATTATTTGTTAAATCAATAGTTTAAAACTTTTAGCTATAATACTAAGGTTTTCTAAGTAACCTTTAAATTATGACTATGTTTTAAAATAAATTCTCAGAAAATAATTTATTTTCTTTTTGTTTATATTGTTTTAAATTATTTACAATCAGTCCTAAGAAACTCGATTGAAAATTGTAAGATCTATCTTTGTTTATATTATTAAAGCTATATAATAAGATGGTTTTGTATAATTTTATTATTTGATAAATGAAACCTGTTTTGAGAATGATAGTGATCCTATTTTAATTTAATGGATTAGGATTCTCAATTTATTACTATTTAACATCTTTGGAAAATACTAATTTGGCATATATGATAATCTAAGCTCTTTTGGCATTATTATAATTTTTTTTTTAGACCAAAAATAAACCAATACTACTCATTGGAAGCATAATATTGATTCAATTAAGTTTATGTTTGTTTATCATTTAGAATGAAAGAAATTCTTAGAATGAAAGTACGGCATGTGTTATAATTGTTCATTTTATCACAACACAGTTATTCGAGGATTTTAAAAGATATCAAACATAGTATTTTTTAGTTAGATTATTTTGGCTGATTTTATTGCTTTAATCAACTTTTTTGTAGATTCTTTACATTTCATAAACATCTTAAATTGATATCTCAATTTATTAATGTACAATTTATTTGTTGTTCTCCTTGATTATTAATTATGTCAATGGGATGTAAAATATAATAACACCAAGAAACAAATTAAGTGAATCTCATAGAATTTAGAATACAGACTAATTAATAAATAGGAAAGATCGAGCATCTTCATAGGCAGATTCTGATAAAATGTCTCCAAAAAGTAAAGAATATCCCTTTTATCATTTTTTACTTCCAGATTAATCTTTTCCAAATCAAATTTTAAATACAAATATACTAGATGTAATGATGTAATTTACACATGAAGGCTTATTGGTTTTAAGATTAAACTAATTGAATTAAGATATGGAGATTGTATATTCAAATATTGCATCTAAAACATTATTTTCTGTTAATTCTGCAAAGGAAATAATCGATATTTTAAATTCTCTAAACAATCTAAAATATTAATAACATGATTCATAGGATGATAATTTGTTTATAATAAATCAACAAAAATAAATGTGTAAAAGTATGGCATTTTTAAAAAGTGATTAGATAAATTAATCTATTAATCCTCACTACTAAATTCTATTAGAAATGAATTAAGAAAAAAACATTGTAAATTAATTTAAAGAAATATTTTGTAAATTTAAATAAAATAGTTTTAAGAATTAATATTTTACTTTGCATACATTTTATCCCAATAATGGAGTAACAATGTCATAGAGTGAGAGGAAAGCTGAAAAAATGTTAGAATTGACAATTACAAAAAAGGATAATAATTTATATTTTATATTGATAAGAGATATTACACATAAATAGAAAATAAAATATTTAAGAGAATATGATTTATAAAAATCGAAAATGTTATCATATGTAAGTCATGAATATAGATCTCCTTTGAATTGTATTATATAGATGATAGAGAATGTATTACATTCAAATTAATTAACTATTGATAATTCTGAAATGCTTTAAGCTGCTTTGGATAATTCTTATTATATTTTAAATCTATCAAATGATTTATTAGATTTAGCTTAAATAAAAAATGGTAAATTTGCAGTGCAGTAGACGAGATTTAATTTAGAATGTTTAATAAAAGAATGTTTGAAATTGTTTGCATTGAAAGCAAAGATATAAAAATTAAATCTATCATATATTTATGATAGTAAAGCACCTACAAATGTGTTGAGTGATAAAAATAGAATAAAATAAATTTTAGTGAATTTATTAAGTAATAGCTTTAAATTTGCATCAAATTAAATAACAATTCTTGTATCATATATAGATAACACAACTATAAAAATAGGTGTTCAAGATGATGGGATTGGTATACCTGATGAAGATTAAAAAAAACTTTTTAAGTAATTTTCTAAAGTGAATTCTGAGGAGAGTAGAAAAAGAAATGAGAATGGAGTTGGATTAGGTTTGGTTATAAGTAATTAAATAGCTAGTTCAATAGGATGTGGAGGATTATAAATTGATTCAAAAATAAATTAAGGTACCTATTTTTTCTTTAATTTGTAAATATAATAAATTAGATTGAAAAAGGTGTCAAGTTATAGAATTAAAGAAAATTCAGGTTAATCTCAAGAAGTTGATGAAGGATAAACATTTCTATTAGAACAGAAAAAATCATTTGATTTAGAACCACCTTCTATTAAATGTTCTCATATATTAATTGTTGATGATGAAATCTTTAATGTTTTTACATTTAAAAAATTACTAAATAAAAAGTAAAAAATATGATTTAAAATTAGAAATATTCTAGATATTGATTCTGCATCAAATGGTAGTGAATGTATTGAGAAAATAAAGAATAAGAAATGTTGTCAATAATGTAGTGGATATAAATTAATCTTTATGGATTTAGAAATGCCAATATTAAATGGTTTTAATGCAACTAAAGAAATTCTTAAGATTAATTAAAATTAAGTTATTATTGCTTGTTCTGGATATACCGATCATAAAGAAAAAGAATAATGCTAGAAAATTGGATTTTTAAATTATCTAGTAAAACCTATAAGAGATTAAGAACTAAATGATATTTTAAATACATATTATTGTTGATTGTATAGTTTAAATAATTTAATTATACAAATTATAAATAAAATCCCTGTAAAGATTTATTTAATGAAATTCAGAATAAATGTAGGATAAAAAACAATAAAATGAATTCAGAATAATTTAATCCTTAATCATATGAATTATAGAAACTATATTAAATAAGGGAAACTTTACATTAGTAATAGAGATTATAATAATTGAATGCCTTATTATAACAATAAAGAATGCAAATGATGAATAATTCTTAAACATAGCAATAATCATCTTTAGCAATAAAATAAGTAGATTAGATCTATGATTGTAATGCAAAAAATTAGTTAAAGTTAGCTTCTAGTAAAAATGTCTATTTGTTTTCTTAAAAATTAAAAAATAAAGATTCTATATAGGAACTAATTAAAATGGTTAGAATATGTCCTTTAAATAGTGAATAAACACAAGAGTTGACATCTTTAATTGCTGAGAAATTATTGTAAAAATAATAAAAAGTTGATTATGCTTAGTAACATAATCTTATAATTTTACATTTACAAATAACAAATAGATTATCTATTGATATATTATAATTCTATGTATTGTTATTTGTAAGATTTCCAAATTTATTAACAATAGTTGGCATAATAGAAAATTGGTTATCGACTTCAGAAAATGCTGTTGCTTATTTAGAAGAAGTATGTTCACATTTCATAAAAGAGATATCTGGAACATTGGTACAATTTGTATGTAATAAGGATAATAAGAATAATTATAAAGTAAAAGTATTAATTATAACAAAGGGCAGGTTAGAAATGCTGAAATTATTGATCAAGTATATAGGAAATGAAGAATTATTATCTGCTTTTATTATGTTGGATGTTACAGAAATGTTGGAGAATTGTATTGAACATCATTTTTATAAGGAAACTTTCTAGGTGATAGTAACATTTTTTGAGAATAGCAATTTTAATCATTTTGTAATTAATTTAATTATTGTATTTTAGAAATCTATAGAGAAAGCAATAAAAAAATTATATGATAAATTAAATTCTGAGTAAAAATACTAATTGGATTCATTAATTAAAGAGTATAGAAGAAATTAAGAAAAAAACAAAGCGAAAGCACTTAAAAAATTAGATGAATTATGATATAATGATGATATATATATAAAAATATTATAATGAAGAATGAAGAACAAAAGTTTTAAATTAAATTTAATTATTAATATGGATAATCACATATTTGCTAATAATTCAATAGTTATTGATATGGTATACAATTCTAATATATTAATTAATAGGGATCAAGTTAGATTAAGGCAGGAATAGGTGGGGAAGAAAAACCAAAATTGATATTCAATTCATAGTAAATAAATTGAAAAATAATTAAGTATTGGACGTCCAAAATATAAAGCTTTGCCTGTAGCAAATAGTCAAGAATTTTATGTAGGAAATTAAATTACAGATAGTACAAGAGGAGTGATTAAAATTAAATATCCATATTAAAAAGGTATAATTAGAGACATGAATGAAATGGATTAATTGTGGAAATATGCTTTTTAAGAATTACGTGGAAATCCTAAAGAAGTATGAGATATATGAAATATAATTAGTGTCCAATTTTATTGACAGAGCCACCATATGCATCACAACAATAAAAAGTTGAGATTGCCAAATAATTTTTTGAAAGTTACAATTGTCCTGCTTTGTTCTTTGCAGTTTCAGGAGTTACAAGTTTATTTGCTAGTGGTAAATCAACTGGCGTAATTTTGGATATTGGAGATACAATTTCTTAGAGTATTCCTATTTATGATGGATTCTACATTTAACATAGTGCATAAAGAGTTGATTTAGCAGGAAGAGATGTTACAGAAAACCTTAATAATTTATTAAGAAGAGCAGGATATACATTTACTACTACAGTTATTTATACTTATTATAATTAAAGGCTGAATATGAAATTATCAAGAAGATTAAAGAAAAACGTTGCTTTTTGAGTCCAGCTATGATAGGAGAAGATAAGTTTTAAGAAGAAAGAAAGATTAAAGATTAATATATGTTACCTGACAATAGTACTATTGAATTAAGTTTTGAAAAATAAAGAGCACCTGAAATATTAATGTGTCCAGAAAAATATGGTTTAGAACTGAATTGTAATTTATTAATAAACTAAATTTAGCTATTCCTGAAATTTTGGCAAATTCAATCTAAAAAGTAGATTTAGATTTAAGAAAACCTTTATATAGTGAAATTGTTTTGACAGGAGGTACCTCTTTGATGTAAGGATTTCCAGAAAGACTAATTGGAGAAGTTAAGAAATTAGTACCAAAAGAAGCTAAGGTATTAAAAATTAAGATTTAATAAGGTTAAAATATGGGCACCACCTGAAAGAATAACATTAAGTTGGTAAGGAGGATCAATTTTAACTAATTTGGCTTCATTTAAAAGTATGTGGATACTAAAGAAAGAATTTGATGATGAAGGTGAACGCATTTTAATAAAAAAATAATTGTGAGGTTTAGATAAATATATTTAATGGATTGTTATTGTACTGTCATTTTTCAACCTTGCCTAACCATAAAGCAAGTAATGATTTTCCTTTAACAGCAATAATCTTGAATCTGACCCCTGGAATATCACCGACTGCATGTCCCTTTCTTCCGAATCCTGCTACAGTGACTTCATCATTTTCATTTAAAAAGTTTAAGCAACCATCTTTAGGAACAAAGGCTGATATTTTTTTACCATTTTTCTTAAGTAATACTCTAACACACTTTCTGACTGCAGAGTTTGGTTATTTGGATTCACTAAAATATAATATATGATTAAAATATTTACACTCCAATTTTTTCAACAACCAATCCTTTTGCATGTGAAGCACCCATAAATGGATTTTTATATCTTGATCCAATCATAGCCTTATTATATTCTTTATCAGCCCATCTATTAACTCTTCTGTGATCTTTGAGCTTTCTTCCTGCTCTCATACCTCTAGGTTTTCCTACACCCATTATTATAAATAAAAAGATTTTATTTATTTTTTCAAAATATACTTTAAAAACATCTATCCATCTAATTTATCAATAAAATATGAATTTATTCACTCCATTTACATTAGGATCAATTAAATGTTAAAATCGTATAGGTATGGCAGCCATGAGTAGATAACGATGTGATAACAAAGAAATGATTCCTACATAAATGATGAAGTAATATTATATGTAAAGATGCACGGCAGGATTTATAATTACTGAAGGTTTGCCATTGAGTTTAGATTCAATAGCTTAAGATGGATCATCTGCTATATTCAATATTAATTAAGCATAAGCTTGGAGTGAAATAGTAGAAGCATTGCATTAAAAAGGTTGTAAAATAATAGCATAATTATGGCATTGTGGTAGAGTAACAAATTAGATTAAAACACCATTGGCACCATCAGCTATAAAAATAAGGAATAGTAAGTATAATGAACCTAAAGAAATGAGTATTGATGAAATATAAGAGGTAGTAAAATAATATTTGGAATGTTCTAAATTAATTAAATACGCAGGTTTTGATGGAATAGAAATATAAGCAAGTAGTGGATACTTATTAGATTCTTTTCTTAAAGGTTCTGCAAATAAGAGAACAGATGAATATGGTGGTTGTGTTGAGAATAGATGTCGTATAGTGTTAGAGATAATTGATAAATTGGGGTCAGTATTTGATATATAAAGAATTGGAATAAAAATATCACCTATAACTAGATAGTACGATTCATATGACCCAAATCCAAAAGAATTGTATAAATATTTGTTAGAGTAATTGAATTAAAGAAAGGTTGGATTCATTGAGATTAGAGATGATGATTATCCTGAGAATTGGTTAGATTTTGGCTATCCATCATCTAAATCTGATATTGAAAATGTTTTTGAATTTTGTAGACCTTTATTTAAAGGTTAGATCATAGGTAATGGAAAGGTGACACCTGAGAGGGGAGAAGAATTAATAAAGAAATAATATTGTGATGCTATAACCTTTGGTAGATTATTTACATCAAGTATTTAGTATATGTTTAAAAGATTAGATCCAGATTTGGTAGAGAAGATAAAAAATGGTGAGAAATTGAATGAAGTTGATACATCTACTTTACTTAGTTAAGGTCCTAAAGGATATATATGTTGATTGAATACTATTAAATATTGATTAAATATATAAACATGAAATCATAATATATATACAGCAAAAGATGAGAGGATGGACTTTCAGCTACTACTTGAGCTGACAGTAAATGTTACAACTCTTCCTTATTTAAAATGATAAGTAGATTTATTATTCTTAGTACTAACAAGGTTATTTTAAGAGGTATTGTTCTCTATTCCAAATCTTCTTCTTCTTTTTAGAAATATATTTTATTCCTCTTCTGGTTCTTTTCTACTAATTAATAATTAAATTCTATCAATTAATTTTTTTATTATAGCATATTCATTAATTAAGAAGTTGATATGCTATTTTACATCTATGAACATTTAAAATAATATCAAAAATGATGTAGATGCTATAACAAACCATCCTAAATTTAATTTACCATTATCTTCCAATTGATTTGTTTATTCATTCATAGCAAGACCCAATATAAACATTTCTGCTATCCATATAATTAATTCTGAACCTACTTATTTTATTAATTCATCTTTATCTTCAAGTGGTCTCACTTTAATTAAATATACAGCCATCATCATATTTAAAAGAGACACTAATCCTATTTAAATACAAGGAATTGAATAGAACATTACTAAAAACATCATAAATAACATTTTCTTAATTAACAAAATTATGTTGAAATAATAAGTGAATGGATTCTTTTACAATTTAATTCCTTCATAAATTGCTCCAAAATTATTTTATATCACTTTCTATTTGAATACATAAGGAGGTTTAGACATAAATATTATTGCTGAATAAATAAATACTACTTCTAATAGTAAAGCAATTATGCAAAATAAAAAACTACAAAATAATATTGGATCTTTCAAATAAACATCTTTTAATTACAAAAATAAAGCAAGATTATAATCAAATGCCACTGTCATGAATGTACGAATCACACCTGATATGAATTCTTAATTGATTTTAAGAAGTGATTGTTGAAAATTCCTTGTGATTCTATAAATGAAGAATGTGCATACACTTTGTTCTTATGAATCTATTGGAGCATAGATCAAAGAATGTGAGATCTTGGTCAAAGTTTAGAACAACATTCTACATCCGATATAAGTAAGTAGTGTTGTTATGAAAACAGTTAAAACAGTTATAATATTAACAAAGAAAACTGTAGAGTATCCTTCATTGCGAAATTTTGGATCTGCATCTGGTGTATTGACATATTAACTTATAAATTATTCTAAATCGATATATTGTTTAATAAAATCGAATTAAGCAAATCCAAATATAGTAAAGTAATTATTGACATTATATGGATAGTTAACATTCAAAAATTATAAGTAGGATATTAATTACAGAATATCTAATAGATTCCAAAATATGTTTAATCCTCCAAACAAAAATGCCAAAATTGCAAATCCAAACAAAAGATATAAAATGTATTTACTCAACTTCATTAAACCATTAGTAGCACTTTCTGCTATTTCAGAGGTAGCTTCGTATTCTAATAATGAAGTAATATAGTTTTTCTCTTTAAAGGTATTACCTTGTTGATTATAAATGGCTTCTTGATTTATTATTTGGCAAATTAATTATGGATCAGAAACAACTGTTTATAATTGAATGGTTAATTCTAAAAAGAGATAATTATATTCTTCAGAATATGATGTTAAATCAACAAAGGAGATTTCGTAAGAATTCAAATTATTGATTTTAAATTTGAAAATCGAATTGATACTTCCTGAGATTGAAACTTTTTAATCTGTTTTAATTTTGACAATTCTTTATGAGTTATATTTTAGATCTTAAGTATTTAATTCAAATAAAATAGTAGGGTAAATAATCTTTTCACATAAAGTTTAACATTAATAGCCTTCTTCGATTTCACATAGTTGATTACAACCATCATTTGGTTTTAGATTACCATCATCACATTATTCATTTGATACTTTGATTCCATCTCCACAAATATTAATACATTGATTATCTAATATTTGAAATCCTTAGTCTTAGTTACACATTATGCAACCAGATCCATCATTTTAGTATATCATACAATCAGTACAATTGTCAGATTTATTTATACATGTTTTGCAACTTGAATCACAAGGTTCACAAATAGATTCTTAAGTTAAATAGAATCCATCAATGCATCCAATACATTAACCAGCATCGCAACCTGTACATGTGTAATCTAAACAAAAAGAATTACCATTTAAACATTTATAACAATTATCTCTATAATTATTATTTCCATCATCACAATCTTCATTCCATTAAATTATACCGTCACCACATTTTGAATAACAATAATGATTTATAGGAGGATTTATATAATCATTGCAACTTAGGCATAACTAATTACCTGATTCATAATATCCTCTTCTACATTTACAAGAAAATTCATGAGCATTATCATTAATAGAAGGTTCTCTAGTAGTAGGACATCTAGTACATGAAGTACTATTATTCTAAGAACATTCAAGACAAGATAGATGACATTCTAAAATTTATATATAAGTAAAGAAATACATCCACAAATATCTGATGACTGTTCAAAGTATCCAGTTTAGCATGTACAAGATTTATTATTGATACTCATAATTCTAAATTGATTATCATAACATGACTTACAAGTTGAAGCATCTTAACAAGTTTTACATGTAGAATGGCATTCTAATTGGTTAAAGAATTATTAATACTTTGACAAATCAATTAACCAATATCATAATATCCATCCATACAAATACATGTATCATTTGTAGATATTCTGTAATGTGAAGGATAACATGAAATGCATTAATCTTTAGTAAAATTGCATTTTTCACATAGATCTGAACATTTAGAACAAATTAAATCATTGTCTCCTTAGAAATACCCAACTTGACATTCACATGTATTAGATGAATTTAATATCCTATATTATCCAGGAACACAAGCTTAGCAATCACGAGCTCTTCCTTAACATTTTTTACAAGTTGGATAACAAATATAACAACTAAAATTCTCCATATAATATCCATCTAAACAAATACATTAATTAACATTTAACCATAGATTTTTAGATTCATCACAAGATAAACAATTATTAGGATGTTTTGGACGTAGAACTCTATCATTTTCTCTATTATTTAAACATGTTTAACAATTATGAAAACATTTACTTTATGAACAATATTCAATTACATCTTTAAGAGTAGAACAATAACATATTTTATTTCTTAATTCATAACCATCTTAACATGTTAAACAATCAGAATGTCCATTACATGTAGTACATCCAATATCACATGTAGTACAATCTCCATTTTCATTTAAGTAATATCCAGATTTACATCCATTTATATCAGTACTTATGATATCAATGGGAATTATGCAATTTCCATTATTATCACATTATTAACAATATTCTTGACAAGTCCAAATTATTATTCTATAATCATATATTCCACAATATGCTTGGTTATCAATATTTCTAATACAATGTAGTTAAACAGATAATTCATCAGTAGATTCAAATTATTTTATATAAATTACATTTTAGATTACTTCAATCTCAGATTAACCAACTTAATTACCTACTGATATTCCACTACCAAACATTGAGTATGTTGGGCTTTCAGAATTAACACTTGTTCTAAATTAAATTTGATTATTTTTAGAATCTATAAATACTAACATGAATTCTAATTGTATTTTATAAAATGGTTTTTTGTATCTTAATCTATGTATTACTTATTCATTACTCCAAAAATTAAGTCCTCCTAAAATTATTTTATTCATAAAGAATGAATATGATTTTAAATTATATTTATCAGAATAAGATTCAAAATGATAATGATTTAAATCATGAAATAAATTGACTAAATATACTTAATTTGCATCTACCATTTAAGAATCTACACAAATATTACTAATTGCTGTTGTGTAATCTGGACATTAATCAATACATATTCCTTTAAATAAATTCTTATTACTTCCACAAGATAAACAAATATCTAATTTATCAAATTAACAAGTTTAACAATTATTTAAACAATTCCATTAATTATTAGATATTTAATATTGATTCACTTCTAAATCTCTAATACCCCATTTACGCTAAATCTTATTTATCATAAATTTAGAACTGAATTCAATTTGATTCACAGTCTCTGTTAAATAGAATTACATATAAATTTGATAGGATTTACATTTTTAATATTCTGGAATAGTGCAAATTTATTAATGTAAGACTCTACTATCTTAATGAAAGTATGAATTTAGATAAATAGTTTGAAGATCAACTAATTTGGCTACTACAAATGAATTAAATTTAATTAATATTTCCTCTACCATAAAACTAGACATACTGCCAGTCACATATAATGTAAATTTCATTTCATATTATTCATCTGCAGGTAATAAAATATCACTAAATACAATCTTATCTGTATTACCAAACATACCTGCTATACTTTTACTTCCAATTATTTGTGTCATTAATTAAATAGTGCTATAATATTTATCGGGAATGTATTAGAATTTGTAATTATTAAAATTAATCTGCTCTAAATCTCTATAGACATTATTTATTATTGCCATTTAACATACATTATTCTCATCTGGTACATAATTTGTTGGACATTCATCAACACATTATAAATTAGGATTGAATAATGAATAATTAAGTATACCACATCTACATTATGATTTTATCAATTCATATCCTAATTTACAAGTTAAACATTAATATTCATTACATTCTTCACAAAGATCATCACAATAGAATACTTATAACACAAAGTTTGTTATTCCATAATCACTGATTGAACCACTAGTCACTTATTCATGAACTATTTCAATATTTAAATGAGGATCATTAAATGATATCGTTTGATCTATTCTTGATATTTTCTCAGGGTTAGATTTTCCAAATGGTCTTTACTTACAAAATCTCATTGAAAAATCTTCTTGTTAACTTGTATTTGGGGTTTCGTAATGTACCAACAAACTATTAGCATATACAGTTATGACCTCTGTTGGATTCCATATACCCAAATAGTAAATATCAAAACTTATTCTTATTTTACTAAATCCTCTATTTGTATTCATATCGATACTACGAGTTAAGAAAACATCACCCTAAAGTAGCTTTGAATTTAATTATGGTTATAACTCGCAAACTAATAACAAATTTGATTAACCTATGTTATTTGAGTTCTTCCACAAGTGAAATGTTGTACTATCTATCAATTCCGATTTGTAAAGTTCCCAACCTAAACATTGGATGATTACTAATACCACAATGAATTTTTATAATAAATACTGAGAAAACTAGGAATTCCATCTATTTCATTATGTTATTTATATAAATAAATCCATATTACATAAATGTACAGAAATATACTCAAATTATTTTGATAAATTCTGTTCTGAATATTTAATCAATGTCATCATCATATACAAATAATGAAGTTTGTTGACTAAGTTGCCATCATTTTGGTGATTAATTTTTTTAAATATTTTCTAAAAATATATAATTAAACATCTTCCTGTAATAATAATTTTAATGATATTACCACCTTCAGATCAAATACTTCATTCAGTGTAATCGAAATAATGGTTTAACTCTCGATGTCAATCTAAAGTTAAGTTGTAGTATTTGAAATCATCACGTGAAATAATGAATGATAATGTTGTTACAAACACATTTCGTCTAATTGATAAAGATTAATCAAGTAAGTTTAATAAATAAAATTTAAAGAGACACTTGAAATAGAGGAATTATACTCTATGTTTTTAAAGAATGGTTATCCAATAAACATTAATTTGCTTAGAGGGTTTTTTGAGAAAGCAGATAAAGATAATAATAGTACTTTAATATCTATTTTTTAATAGAATCAATTGAATTAGAGGAATTTAAACACATAATGTATGATGAATAAGCCACACAATGTATATAGCATTACTTAATTAGCTTTTAGAGAAATGATGAGAAAAATGAGAGAATAAGCAAAAGAATCAAATTATTATTCTACTGATTTTGTTAGATTATTAAGATATCTTTGTTATTGCTAAGATAGAAATGCACTTTAATTTTAAATTAAGGTATGCCATCTTCCATTACCTAGAATCACAGATTATCAGTAGAAAAGAGATCAAAATTAGTAACTCAATTGATTTAGCTTAATCATCAATATAATGAAGATTAATAAATGACTGATGAATAGTTACAACCAAGACCATATAAAAAATAAACAAATGAAAGGAAAATCTTACCTCCTTTAAATAAACATTATGTTGGTAATTCAAATCCAACCTCAATGATATAATCCTAACTTAAATTAAATTTAAGCGATGTTCAAAAGAATTCAGTATTATCCTTACCATCTTATAAATCACCTTAAAATACTGATAGAAGTATTAAATAATTTACATAGAAATGTAAAAGCTATATTACAATAAACAATAAAATATTTGGCAATAATAAAAAATGAATGTCTTATTTATTTTATTTATTTATTATTTATATCTATTTCATTTATTATTAAGTTTTAAATAAGATATTAAAAATAATAAATTAAATTAAAAAAATCAAATATAAGGCTAACAATAAAATTATCCATCTGAATTTTCTTTACATTTTAAACACTTATTATAAGATTCGCAAATCTAGCAACCAATAGAACATTTTTGACAACCACTATCATCTAAATAGTAACCTTCTAAACATTATAATTTTAGATAGTCAAATTTTTCAATATTTTTTTAATAAGCTTTGCAATCTGATGCAAGAGAACCTACACATTAAAGACACAGTGAAGAACACTATATTATTTTACTTTATTACTTTCATTGTCATAAAATAATAATTAGAGATAACACATCTACCATTACTCGAGAATTTGCATCCTAAATTCATATTTAGAATGTTCTTATTATGATAGAGTGTATGATCAATATAAGATACATTTTTACGTACATAAAATGTTTTACCATCTATTGTGTATGTAAAACAATCTGAATCTGATGTTGAATTCTCAAATGATATATTAAACATCAGCCTAATTGAATAATGTTTTCCAAGATTCAATTATTTAGTAAATGTTGTTCTTCTCCAATTATCTTTTAATCCTCCACCTATTAATGTAGTTCCATTTTCATATCTAAAATTTATTTCTTCTTTCATTTCAAAAGTTTTCTAACCTAAAATTGTTTATAAATCCTAAAATGGTGAATATAATTTTATAAGAAATGTAATATCTAAAAATCTATTTTAAATTATACCTTTTTATTATTCCTCTATTTTTATACATTTACCATCTATTTAAACTGTAAAATAAGGACATTCTTTAATGCATTTATTTTCATACAAATATGTATTTATTTTGCATTAATTACATAGATGATTAAATGAACATTTTTCACATTCATCTATTAAACATTCGTAAAATTTTTATTATTTATCATAAAATTTTATTTCATTAATACTCCAAAATCCATAATTTTCAATACTCTTTGAAAAACTATATATTTTAATATTATTTTATTCTTCAAAATCCATTTTAAACAAACCTGTAACTTAGACACAATCTAATTCATAATTTGATTAACATTATTTATAAGATTATGTATTATAATAAATAGATAAGAAAGGATGAACAGTTTCAGGTTGAGTATTTTCTTTTGAAATCTTTAAAATTGAATTATAATGATTCTATTAATTACCGTAACAATTAAAAACAATTTCTAACCATCCACTAAAATGATATTCGAATTCAAAATGTAATTCTTGCATCTCTCCAAATTTCTTTTTTAATCCAAATTCAATTTTTTGATTCTTTTCATTTAATCCTAACTAATTTAAACCTTATTTATATCTATATCTATACTTGTTTTTATGCATTCTCTAAATTCAGCTATATATCCTTTAGGACATTCATCAACACATTACTAATTAAATCTTAATTTCTCACACTAATCTAATATCTCAAGATCACAATATCCAGATAAGCAATATTTGCAATTCTTTGGACATTCATCAACAAATAAGTTAAAGTTCCGAATAGATAATTAGAACTACTCACTTAAAATAAACTATATTTTTATATCTGAAGCTTAATGCTCAAATTCAATATGAAATTCTTTAAAATCCTCTTCTAATACTAATAAACTTCTCCTAATTCCATTAACTTTTATTAATATCTCCATCTAACTAAAATTTCCTTAAGCATCAAATATCATATGTAATCTCCTATATCCAATTATTCCCTTGTATGTTATTTAAAAGGATTCCTTTGCCAAGATTAAATAATTATCATCTAAAATCAAATTATCATTCCCCATTGACTCTACGATTCTTTTTTAAGTTATAACATTCCAACAATTAATCCATTCAATCAAGAAGAATACAAATATCATTTACATTATTTCAAAATATTATTTATTCAATGAAAATATCTTTCTTCTCAAGAAGAGACTAAATAAACCTCTAAAATAACTACCAATAGTCAAATCCTCTTTTATAATACGTATTATTCTCAAAATAATAATATAAACTAGAGTTTTATCATATTCAAACTCATAACATCAGAAATTAGGTCATGGTAATGTAAACAAAACTCAAAATCTTTTTACCACACTCTACAATCTAATTCAATTTTCTCATTTAAAAGAAAGCTATTTACTTTCTAATTTATCATTTTTATTATATATGTATTATATCAATCACTATAATTGTTGTCTTAACTCAAATTATTGAAAATATCCAAAGCCTTATTATTAAAATATATATAGATTAGACAAAGTACAATATAGAATATAAAAATAATTAAACATATATTTTAGTTAATTCTTTAGAAATTCTAATACTTAATCTTTCATATTTTTATTTACTTCCATTAAAGAAAACTTAAGAATTATGCCTATATTGAAACTCAAAATATCTTATAGAATTTTTTACAAATCTTAAAAAGAAGATTTTCTTATATCATTCATAAATTATTTTTTAATGATAAAAATAAACTTATAAATTGAGGCATATATATTAGCTGCATTTTAATTAAAAGTCTTGAATTTAAACACTAATCATAATTACTTTGAGTAAAATTATTATTAGAATGTTTTACTCTTTTCTTTTAAATACTTTGTTCATTTTTTATTTAGAATAATAGCGATCTAGAAAAAAAAAAAGTATGTATTATAATTTTCAAAAAACTTATTATAATAGTATTTCAGAAATATTTTTGTTTGTTTTTATCTTCATTTATTAAAGACTTTAAAGTTTTCATTTCTGAATCAAGTCTTACTATTACTTTATCTGACTAATTTGAATGTTATTATTAATAATAATCAGTATTTAAGCGACCAAATGATGAGTTAAGTTATTTATCTTGCAAAATATTCTATTATAAATTTATAATTTGTACTTATAAAGTACTCAATCTCATTTCTCCGCTTTAAATTTAATTATGTATTTATGTTTTTAGTTAAGTAATAATCTCTGTATAATGTTCATCTTTTTAATTAAGTTCCTATCTTCTTAACTTTTCACAATCCCTTAATTTTGAATTTAAAATGAATATATCATCTAAAGTTTATAAATTTAATTACCTTAATATTTTTTAATTTCTTAATCTTTTAAATTTATTGCATTTTGATCCATCAACTTAAGCTACTTTAGTTTTTCAGAAGCCAAATTTTATTCTAATTAGTTAATATGTAATTTTTATTGATCTATTATTTTTTGTTAGCTCTCTAAATTATGCTAATAGAATTATATTTATTCTTAAAGACTCTTATTTTCTTATTCAGAATTTTTTAATTCCAGCTCAAGTCTCATATTTTATTAAATATATTATTAATTTAATATTGATATTGAAGTATTTGCAGACTAATTAAAAGATTAATAATTGCTATTATTTGAAGTAGTAATTTAGTCACGTTTTGTGGGTTATTTTGATTGTTACTTTAATTCTTCTATTTAATTATATAATGATCTAATTTCATTTTATTATTATTCAATTTTATTTTGCAATTCATTTTATTTGGCTTATTCAACCTACTTTTAAGGACTGTGAGTTATAATTGAATTATAATTAGTACTATTAAATTATTAATTAAGTTCTTATATTCTACTTTAATATTCTTGTAAAATTAATTCTGAACCTTTTGCTACTCTTGCCTTTAAAATAAATTATATTTACTCTAAGAGTTAACTATTAATATTTAGATTTCCAAATTTATAACTCATTTTCTAATTTTTCATAGGATTGTTTTCCCTAACAGAATTGTTCCAATTCCATATACTTAAATTTCCAATACTCAACTTCTTTATTAACCAATGATTTTTCAACATAATTATGAACAGCTTTTTTTTAAACTTGGTTTGGGGAATAAGAAGATTGTTATTTTACAGTTTTTGTTGGAGATTTACTTGAAAATTTCATTTATAAATAATTAATTTATGAGAGTTATTTTTTAATATTGCAATAATGTTTAAATAAATTTTTAATATAATTAATAAGACAATATTCAACTAATTTATGCTTTTCTTAATGTTTAATTTTCAACTTTATTCATATATGAAACATTTCTTATTTCATTAAGTCTTAAATATAATAAAATAATTACTTTAATGTTAATTGATGATTCATACTCTTTAAATTATTAATAGTAGTTTCTAATTCTAAAATTCTAGTATTATATTCAACTTTTAACTTTTCTTCTATTTTATCGTAATCTTATAATAATTTAACTGATTTTTCTCTACTTTATCGTTCTCTATTAATAGCATCTTCCATCTATAATTACAGATTTTTAATTTTATAAGTATAGTCATCTTAAATTTATTCTAATCTTGATTCGTAATGTCTTTTAGTTTTTGCAAGTTCTTCTAATTAATTTTGACATTATCTAGTTAATGAATTGATTTTTCCTTTTTATGTTGATAATTCTTATGTTCTACTAGTTAATTCAGATCTAGTATGTTCCAAATTTTATTTTAAATCAGCATTATTATTACTTAAAGTTTTAACATAAGAATCATGTGATTGTTTTGTTAAATTAATTTCAGCTTCTTAATCAGTTAATTTCTATTCTAATAATATGTTTTTTTCTGATAATTCACTTATTTATCTTTATAAATCATCAGTTTATTAATAATTAGTTTCAATATCTTATTTTAATCCATTTTCCATTCTAGTTATTTCTATTTTTAAGCTCTTTATTTCTTTAGTTAATCTATCATTTAATGTGCTTATTTAATTTGTTTCTTCATTTAATCTATGAATTTCATCTTCTTTTTATTCAATTATTATTTTATATCTATTTTTTATACTTTCTGATTGTTTATCTTAATTTTCTTTTAAATTCATTATTTCCTCTCTATGTTTAGCCATTTAATTTTATAAAGTTTAATCAAATTATTATTCTTTTAATTAATATCTATCTTTTTCCATAACAGCATTTTCTCTCTCTTCTTTCAATTATTTAGTTAAAATTTTATAATTTTCTTCTTTTTTCATTAATATTGATATTTTATTTTCATAATTATCCATCATTTTAATTGTTTATTCTAAATTGCTTCTACTTTAATCTAATTCTCTTTTTAATGCCCTATTTTCATCTCTTAATTAATCAATTTCTCTTTCATTATGAACTTATTTATCAAATAATTCTCTTTCTTTTTTATGCATTTCATCTAACTCTTTTGATAATTCTGTTTGATTTAATTAACCTTTATTTTAAAGATTAACAATTTCTTATTTTAAATTTTAATTTTAATGTTTTAATACTTTATTTTCATTTTCACTTTTACTAAATCTTTGAATATATTCTGTTTTCTCTTCTTCTGTAATTGCTACTAATTATGTTTAATTTTAGAATTTATTTTCTAAAATATCTAATTTAATCTTTAAATCATCTTATGCAATTTCTAATTATTAGTTTATTTATTTTATGTCTTATAATTAATTTAAATATTATTATTCATTTCTAACTAATTAGTCATTTCTTAATTAAAGATCATATATCTAACTTTCATATTATTTTAATTTATTAACATATATACCATTTTCTTCATTCAATAATCTAATTCTTTCTTCAAGATCTTCTTTTTCCAATTCATTAAAAACACTTTTAATATTATTAGTACTTCCTCCTCCTTATTAATATAAACGTAGAAATTGCTCATTCTTATCCTACAACTATTTTCTGAGAAATGTATTATCATCATTAACCATTTATATTCTAGCATCCATTGCAGCTAAATCATCCATTAATTTTTGAAGTATAACATCATAGTTTTTTATGTGATCTTCATAAACTATAAATAATGGAGCTAAATATGATAAATCTGTTTAATGATTTATGTCTTGATGTATTACATCAACTCTAGTAATTCCTAATCTCTTTAAACATTCATTAAGTTCCTTAGATAATCTTCCATCTATTTTAAAATCATAAATTATTATTACTAGCATTAACTTAGAAGGAAAGTTCTGATTTTAATGAGTTTATTTGATTTAAAAGTTCTGCTTCTGTTTATTTAGGTTAAACCATAGATATCGGATGTCGTTGCATTTTCAAACTATTTGTTCTGTTATAATTAAAATTAAATTTATATTATAAGTTTAATATTTATAGATAGCTAAAAAATATAATACATTCATAATTTATTACTCTTATCTTTATTTTATTTAAATTAATTCAAAGTTTTTTTTAAGTATATTTTTAACAATTAAAAAGTTGATATCATCATCATTTAATAAACTGCAGTCATTTTTTAAATTATTATATAAATTTCCAATCTCACTTATTTTACAATATAACTCTTTATTATATTTAAGTGTTCTGGATTTATAGTTTTTTTATGGTTATACAAAAATATTATAAGGTTGTTACAAATTTCATCCTAAATGTTATTCATATCTTAATGATAATTTATAGAAGGCTCATTAATTTTTTTAAGTAGCTTTTAAAATATTAATCTTTAAGTAGGATCGTAAACAATCATTCTTTAAATCAAATTAGATAATCTCGAATTATATTGTGAGTTAAATTTAAATGGTTTACTTTTAATATATAAAAGCATTTTAAAAGTGGCTAAAAGTGATAAATATTAATAGATTTTAAATGCTTGAGCACAAAATTTTTATTGTTATTATAACTCTTAAATTTCATATTAAATGTACCTACCATTCACAAAAACTTTTGAGCTATCATTTTATTGAATTTAATAGAGTATTCTTAATTTAATCCAAAAGAAAGCATGAATATGATTTATTAAGATAGATTATAAAATTATAAATTATAATAAAATTAAGAAATTTAAATTTAATTTAGTAAAAACAAACAATAAATCATGGATATATTCCATTAGTGAATTATTGAAACTTGTCATACATATATGTTCTTTTATTATTAACGCTTTAATTGATCAATTTCATAATATGTTGATGACACTAAAAATAAATATCAATAATTACTTTTTCTTCACTATCATACAATTTAAATCTTGACTTAAATTCTTGAATATCAAAAAAAGTAAAACAATGAAAGTTACTTTATTCCATCATTAATTCAATAATCTATAACAGAGCAGCAAAACCTTTTCTTAATTCTAAGAATCCAGAAATCATCAATTCTATAAAATATTTGAATGCCTTAGAACCAGTTCCATCCATTAATTCTATATAGTCTTAGGTCATTTTGAATGGTGCTGTTTCAAAATTTGCATTTCCTGGAGAAATAGATAAAATAAATCCAAAATCAATATGAATTAAATAGCCTTAATTATCAATTAATATATTTCCATTATGTCTATCTTTTATTTACATTATATATGTTAATAATGAATAACCTGCTAAACTTTCAATAAAATTTCTCTAAGCAAAATGAAAATCTTCTCCAAAATAGAATTTATAAAATTCTCTTAAAGTCTTAAATTTATTTTATTTTAAGTATTTTTTCATTGCATCTAAAGAAATAGTATTAGGTACAAATTCTAAAAATCCAGAATTTTCAGATGTCACAATAATTTCATAAGGTTTTAAATATAAATTTAATCCTCCAGCTTTAAATATTGAATCTAATTTTTATATTACTTGCATTGCCATAAGTTCTTATCTTAAATCATCACCTCCTTTTACCATAATAGCTCTAATTTAATATGATTCAAATTCTTTAAATGGAGATTATTCTTTTATTAATTCTAATTTATGATCCCAATCTTCACCCCAAGGCCCTTACATTTTTACTAGAATTTTCTTTCTTAATTTGCTTTATTTTTCTTATTCTAATAAATATTGCTCTTCTTTTTAATTGATTTCTTTTAATAATTAACTGTTTCTTGAAGTTGTAGGTAAATTAATAGATGTTTTTTATCTTTAATGATATTTTACATCATCACATTCTTTAGTTTATTTAGCTTCACTTAAAGAAACACAAAATTCTGTTATGGAGGATGAATTTGACCAGGAATTTCTTCTTTTTAATTTTGGACTAGTAAATGAAGATCTTTAAAGTAAATTTTATTCAAATTTATTTGGAGATTCTGGTAAACTATCTTCATAATTTGTTGATTTATCATATTTATAATTTTAAAGTTGGTTGAATATATTATCCTCAATTTTACATTTAGTATGATATCTTAATTGAGATTCTAAATCATCTGATATTTCTCTATGTAATAAATCATCTTAATCAACTTCTGTAGATACATCCTAATTTAATTTTGTTTATTTTTATTTTATTTCTTCTTCACTTATAGTTTCAACCAAAATTCTATAAGGAACTCTAGTTTTTGTATTAAAACAAGCATAACCTTCTTCACAAATTCGAACAATCAAATTTGATGGATTTTAACCTTCATATTTTCTTTAAAAAGGTAACATTGCACCCCAATAATATGGAATATCTGAATATTAATTTCTTAATCTTTTTAATGCTTTATTTGTGCTTTTTATTTCCTTAAACAAATATTAATTTCTTTCTGGGGGTTCAATTTATTTAAGTGATAAAGATAACTTTATTAAATTCATTACTAATTTTTCTACTAAACCTATATAACTAGATCGCAATTCTTTCTCTGAAAATTAATTTTACAATTCTAAAAATTATATTTTAATTAAAATATACATATTTGAAATTCTACATTATTCATATTTTTAAGAATTTCTTCTTTACTAAATTTAATAGCTCCATTTATCATTGACTTTTCAAGTCTCTATAAAAAATATTTAATATAAATTGGTTACTCTTTAAAATATTTCAATCTATTTAGAAGCAATCTCATTCTATTTTTCATTTTCTGAATAAGCATTAATACACCAACTGATTTTAAGGAAATTAGCTATACTTATTTAACATAAGGTTTCCAAAAATGTTTCCATACTTTTACTTCCTTTTTTAATTACTAGATAACTAGAAAAATTTATAATTCATTTACCTGAATTAAGGAATAAAATTTTCTATAAATGTGTAAGGCATCTATAATAGTTTTTAAGTTAAATATTAATGAGGTCCTGGTTCATTAAATGTTGCCATATAATAGTATATCAACAATTCAGGTGTAAACTCTTAAGATGAAAAGAAATTAAGAATTTATTTGGTATTTGTAGATCTGATTTAAGAATTTAATGTTTTTGAATCGATATTCATTTCATTTATTTATCTTGGCAATTTATCCATCACTAATTTATGTTTTATTTTACAAATAAAATATATTTATAAGCTTTTTATGTAATATAGGTGATGAGATAGTTATACAAACTGATTTTTTTCAAAATATTGAATACTTATAAATAATTGAATTGATGATAATATAATTTCTAAAGCTTATCTTACATTTAAAGAGAAAATTGATTATCATTATAATAGATTTAATAATTATTTAGATTAATGGAGATTAATTGTTATGAATTATATAAGTTAGTTTATAAGTGAATCAAAGTAAAGAGATAAATGAAGATTATTAATAATTGTATTGATTGTAATAATAATAATTTAATCAAAATAAAAATGATGATTTTATAAAAAGCTAAGTGAAGATTTGTTTATATTAATATATAAATAATATGGGGAATAATATTTAGTCATTTTATTATAAATTTTATTGATTATATTTATAAAAATTTGTCAGTTAATCGATACAAATGTAAAGAAAAATAGAATGCTATAATAAAGGACTATTTAATTCAATGTCATAATTTGAACCTAAATAAAGATCCAATGGTAAGACTAGTTTAGGAACTGGATCTTTTGGAACAGTTAATTTGGTTTAGAATATTAAATCATAATAACTCTTTGCTATTAAATCAATTTAATAATGCAATATCTAAACTCCATATGAATAAGAGGGTGTTGAAAGAGAAATTAAAGTTCATTTGAAGTGTCGACATCCAAATATTATAAACTTATATGATAGTTTTATTGAACATGGAAATGTGTACATGGTATTGGAATATGCAGAGAATGGAAATTTATATAATTATGTATAGAGAAGAAAGAGATTAGATGAAAAAGAAGCTTGTAAATATTTCATTTAGACTTGTAAAGCATTGCATTATTTACATGATATGAATGTATTTCACAGAGATATAAAAGTAATTCTATAAAATATTATTTAAAGCCTGAAAATCTTTTACTTGATAATAATCATGATATCAAGTTATGTGATTTTGGTTGGTGTGCAGAAAATATCCATTTGAAAAGAAAGACTTTTTGTGGAACTTATGAATATATGGCTCCAGAGATTGTATCTGATTAGCCATATGACTATAAAATTGACATCTGGTCAGTTGGAGTATTATTATATGAATTGTTGCATGGTTATGCTCCATTTAAAGGAAAGGAATATAAGGAAATTGCTTAGAATATAAAGAATGGAATAATTAGATATTCTAGCACAATTAATTAAGATGCCTAAGAATTAATTAAAAATATTTTATAAAAAGATCCATAATAAAGATTATCTTTTAATGATATATATTAATCTGCATTTGTTTAGAGATGCTTTCCTTAATAATTAACATGTAATTAATAAATTTATATATTATAGAATTGAAAATATCAATATCTCCAAGATCAAGTTTTTCAGTAGATTAAAATTCAATATAAAAATATTAATCTCCTTTAATAAGTCATAAATAATAACCAATAGGGAGATTAAATTAAAATAATACAAATAACAATCTTAATAATTCTTCTTCTTTAAGTATCAAATCTCCTAATATTTCAAAAACCAGAGTTGATTCTAAAAAACCATAAAATAATATGTTTGATGATATAAAAAAGAAAATTATATATGAATAAATTAGTCCATTAAGAGATGCTACTAATATGCATAAAAGAAATTAAGCTAGTTTTAATAGTTTAATAAAAAGTTCTAATACTAAACTTAATACTATAAAAAGTCCATAACCAAAAAAAATATAACTTAGTAAATATTGTTCTAGATCAAAAAATTTTGATGAGAATGGAACTGTTAAATTGTTAGAATAATTTAAATCAATGCCATCATTCACAATTGAAGATCAATAACATACTTATGAAGAAGAACAAAGATTAAATTTAAAAACTGATAGAGTCAAAGGGTATTTGCAAAGTTTTACCATATATTAGATTTAAAAAAGAGCCTTAATAGCCTTAGGATCTTGACAAACTTTTAAAAATGTATCTTAGTATGTGTAGCAGCAGATCATGAATAATATTTATTATTTATAAACAATACTACTTATCTATAATTTTTATTTAGAATTAAAAACTTAATTGTACTTCATTAAAATATATACTTAACTAAATTAAGAATTGTACATCTCAAAGAAAATTTTCTTGTAATTAAATATAATCATATAAAAACTTTTATCGGTTATTTCAAAATAATTATGCTGGTTGAAAATTTTAAGTTATCAAAGTTTGATTTTGCATTTTAAAATTTATCAATATATTTTCTTTAAGTATTCCAGAATATTTTTAATGTATATTTGTATGAGATTATGAAAAAAACTAATTTTTATTTTATTACAAAAAAATTAAGAAATTACTAAAATAGTCATATTTGAGTATAAATTTTTTTTGCTTAAATAATTCATATTTTTGTTATAAAGTTACATGTTCATAGAGCTAAAGAAATCTTTTGATGTGACATAGATGGAAAATTGATAAAGAATAAAAAGAAATTAAAAAATGATTATTTTTAGATAATTCTACTTTATTTGGAGATTGATATTGAATGAAAATTGATTAACTGCCAGGCTTGACAATGAATAATTCTAATTATTTTAAAGCCTTTATAACATTTAAAGATTGATATCAGTAGATAAATAGCTTTATAATTTATGATTATAATAATTATACTGTTTGAGCAAATTATGTTGATACATATAAATCCCGTATTATCAAATTAACATTATAATATAAAAATATAAATCTTTTATGAATAGTAGTGAAAGTGTGATTGGTGTAAAAACTAGATCTATGAATGTATGCGAAAGAGTGCTTCAACCAAGAATAAAAAGAGACTATTGTCATATTTCTAAAGAAAAGAAAGCTTAACTGATTCAGACTGTACTAAAGCAGAAATGCAAAATAAAGAAAGTAAGATACATTTATTATAATAGATAGCAAAGGATTTAAATATAAACTATGCTACTGCTAAAACCATACTTCATTGTTATAAGAAAAAACAAATAAACTTTGAAGAAGAACCCGAAGTCAAAAGAGCGTCTGTTGGTTAAATTAAGGAAAATTCAAAGTTTTGGGTCTAAATTAAAGTAGCTGAACAAACCATCAAACATTATGAGTAATTCCATGAGATCAAGAGAATCTAATGATTTATTTTTAAACCCTCTCCACCTTTTATTAATCTACACAATTTTTATATTGCCACAATTATGATGGCTAAAATTGGCTTTATCATTATCCATTAAATAAAAAAAATGACTTTCATAAATAACAATCTTTAGACCGGACTAAAGGAAGAAATTGATTATCTAAATTTCTAAATAATTAAAGTTGAGAGCGACAAAGGATTGATATTTTATTGAGAAATGTACAGAATTTACCATCTTATACTTTTAAAATAGAAGACAATACAAGCTTAAAATTGTTTTTTTAGTTCAGTGATTAAACAATATAATACAAAAAAAAATTCAACTTATTCAACCTTTCTTTCCAATAATTATTAATTCTATTTTTTTAATCAACCATCTCTCATATTTTAATTCAACACAAAACATTTTATGATCTCAACAGGATTCTAGACTATTATTAAACATATAAAAAAATTCCTTAGTTGATAAATCAAATTTTATTGATAATCATAAGTCATATATTAAATACGTCGTCATTGTATATAAAATATTTTTTTATTTATTAATAAATATCCTAACCCTTCAATTTCCTATTCAAATATATTTTATTAACTTTTGATATTTGAAGACACTTTTAAGTTCTATTCATTTTTCAATAAGACACAAAATCAATTTATATTATATTTGAATTTAATATTCAATATTGTCATTGTAAATTATGATTATAATATATTATAATTTATCAATATATATTGTTTTGAAATTCAAATTTGAACAAAATAATTTTTATTGATTAATTTTATTCAATTAATAGTCAATTTTGGTTAATATAATTCATTATTTTGGCATCACAAGCCAAGCATTAAGTTTACATAATCTAAAATAATCTTACAGAACTGTTTAAAATAATTTAATTTATATCCATTATTTAATTAATTAAAAAGACATCATTAATTGAACGATGCATAAAAAAAGCTTATTTTCATCTTTAGGCTAAAATAAGATTTAAAACATCGTCCAACTTTCTCCATATTAGTTCTGAAACTATTTATTATTCATTCTACTAAATGTGCAATTAAATCAATATAATCCTAAATGATGTAAATAATTATATAAAAAATAAATTTAATAATAAATGAAAATTAACAATTAAATGAAAATGTATAATGAAAATGTTTAAAAGCAATTTTATTAATTAAGAGTTTGAAGAATAATATGATATAATAGTACCATATTTTCACAAATTCAAAAAACCCGCCTTTATAAAATTATATAAAATGACTATTATTTCTTTATAATTAAAATCTGCTCCCCTACTAAATTAGCTAAAAAATTTCAAATAAAAAAATTATTTTACATTATAAGGGCATATTATGGAGTTTTTTATAGCTTTATGCATGTAGCAATACTGAGCTCATTGCCGATTGAATAGTTCACTTGTAAGGTTTTATTATAAGAGAAAAAAAAAGGAAGAAGATTATAAATATTCAAAATATTATTATTGAATAATTGGATCAAATATAAAATTGTATTGTTAATATAGATAAGCTAGAACTTTAAAAGCATTAAAGAAATATATAATTTTAATTGCCTATTTATTTCTAATGATACATTTAAAACGAATTTAAGAGGAGAGATCAAATTATTAAATTGAATACCTAAACAATTTATATATATCTAAAATTTTCTTACTGTAAAAACAAATTTCAAATTAAGATCTGTAAATGTGTATTATGGAATCAAAGAAATGATGACCATGTGATTTTTCAATAAGAAGAAATTAAGTAATATTTAATATAAATAACAAAATGCTATTATTTTGATAATCATGGAAGGATGTATTGATATAATAAGCTTACATTTATTTTTTGAAGATAAGGGAGATTAGTTACTTTTTAATTAATAATTTTCCATATCAATTTTTATAATAATTATTTTATTTAATGGTTTGATCAAATTTTGCTAATGCTAATTTACTCTTCATAAGGGCTTCTTCAATTCTATTTTCTAATAAACTTCTTTGACTCTTATTATTACTTAAGAGAGATTATTATGAAAAGTAGCTTGTGTCTAATATTTTTTCTTTGTTGAATTAAAACTAATTGGGTATATTAGGTTTAGAAGTGCTATTTAATTGATTTTTAGATGCTGAGATAGATGGAGGCTTTCTTGAAGTTTGAATTGGAGATGAATCAGGAGTTTAAAATTATAAAAAAGACTTGGATTTTTGAGTTTAATAATTACGATCTTATGGGTTGTCTTATTGAAGTAATTTATTTGCAAATAAATGATTATTCCGATTAATCTCTTGAGTTTCAGCTTTTAAAGTTATGGAACCAATTAAGGAAATTTATTTTTGGAACTATTATATTTTATTTTATTATAGATTTGGTTTTTACTTTCTATTTGATTGATTATATGATGATTAAGATTGATATTCATATTCATCGAATTAGTGATTAGTTGGTATTGGATCAGGTTTTTAAATTTTAAGAAGATCTTCATTTTTATAAAATTTTTAGATCGAAACTAGTAAGGATTAAAAAGTGCCTCTTTAAAGTGGATTAATTTAAAGCATTTGGATAAGAAAAGTCTTAAAATCATCAGTGTATTATAATTCTGAGATTCTGGAATATAGATCCTATTCATTCAACTTCCATTCATTTTTATTAAATAATGTTGAAGGATCATTAAGAGAGGCTGCCCATAAAATGGTTAAGCCAGACTAAAAGATTTGACATAATTCAGGATTAAGTTGGTTAATATTTGATTAATTTTTGAATAGTTCTAACTCTTCTGGAGATATATGAAAGTCTTCAGTAAACTAACTGAAGAGTTATTAGAAGGATGTCATATGATTATCAAAAAGAGAATTGAATTTTAGATTTCCTTAATTGGAAATATATAAATTGCGAATTTCCATTGGATATATGTTGTTGGTTTTTAAATAATTTAAGACATCAAGGATCTAATAAGTAAGGGACCAGAGTTATGCTTGAGTGAAAAATGAATTTTTGTTATATCTATTATTTATGATTGTTTTGAGATCGTTATTGATGTATTCATACACTATATATAATTTAGTGAATGTAGAACATACTTCCTTGTAATAAGTAAATAATATACTTTAAATGTTACAGCAGAATAGTAATGAACTTTTAATAAATTAGGATGTTCAAGTTTTTTGAATGGTTTAGTTGGTTAGCTTTATATTTTTTCAATTACACAAATCAATTCTCCTGTGTCATTTTTTTAGTATAATTTAACTTCTCCAAATCTAGGATCAATGATTTGTTGTAAGTATTAATATTAAGAGAAGTTAAATTGATATGTAGAACTACTTGTTCCCATGTTATATTGTTAATTTTTATATGATAAATTTCAAAATGTAATTTATGTTAGAACAATTACATTAGCTAAACACTCTTCATTTTTAGAGAAGGTGTGTCTTTCTCCTTCATAATTAGGATGATCATATATGGTAAGTGTTGTTCCATAGGGAATCTTTAAGGATTTGATTTCATATGGGAAATCTCTAAAAAATAGAATAGATTAATTTACTTCATTTATCCAAGATCATTACATGCTTTCATGGATTCTCCTTTGTAATAACATTAACTATATAATTCAATACATTAGGATGCTTGTCTAAATTTAATTATGAACATTTTACTCTTCATTTATATCACCAATATTATTAGGATCAGTTGAATTGACTTCTTATTGGATATTAACTTATTTTGGACCTTATTAATCAGATTATACATGAGTTTAATCTTAAACAACAATTACTTAAGTTTATGTTTGATTTTCATCTTAATTTAATTCATTGTCAATAATAATAGTTTAGTCTTATTGATTAGTTTATTCAATTTGATTTGGTTAAACTTCATATTCAGGTTAAGCAAACTATTAATTAATTTGATCTTAATCCATATTAGTGAGATCAGGAACTTCATTTTCTTAAGCAATTAATTATTAAGACACATTTTCACTTACTTACAATGTATCATTATTATTCTCAGCCGAGTCATCATAATAATTCTCTTCATTATTTATTGTATCTTCAACATTCTATTAATCTGATATCTCTTATTATATTTCATCATTGACATTCATTGTATCAGATGCATAATTTTCATTATCATCTGTAATATCTGCTTAAGTATCTATGACTTAATGATTTTCATCAATAATATTATTGCTTTCCAATTACCCAATCAACTTCAAGTCTTCCACTATATTTTAACTAGCATCTTCCATTATTTCATTATTTAAATCCTCATCTTCGAACTTATATTATTATTTATTTATTACATAAGCACTATTCAATGGTGTTTCATCATCCAATGATTATTGTAAATCTTATTTCTCTGATCCCTCCATTTAATTTATCATCAAATCACTCTCTTATGCTGCCAATATTTGAACATCTCCATTTTTACTTTTCTCCTCAACCACCTACAAATTCTCTGATGTATATTAAACATCATTCTCTTAGCTACTATTTATCTCATTAATTACCCATCTAGTTACAAAAATTTCTTATGTACTGGAATACTTTAACATAATACAAAACAAACTAGCAAAACAACCCCGACTCTCATTTATATTAAAACGGATTTTTAATTAATATCTATATTATATATAAACTTTTCATTCAAACAATCTTTCTTAACATCCATTCTAACCAATCTAAATCCTTACCAATCCTTCATTATTATTAACATTAATTTATATTCTGTTTTTTATATTATTTACTTCCTTATCTTTAAATCATTAATATAATATAGTAACTAATTTAATTTCTTATTTACTATCACATCTAATTTTCATTTAATCTTAAATATTATTGTATTTCCTTCTAAATATTCAATACTTAAATAAATTATCTTACATTTTTTAATACTCAAATTTAAATAATAAATTTATTATTTCAATACTAATATTATATTTATTAATCTATGACATAAATTTTATGATTAAAAATGACCTTACCAATTCAAATTTTCTTAAAAAGCTTTAAAATTTAGAATTATAATTTGTATGTATATATACAGGTGGTGTTTATTGTAACAATATTCATATCACATCCTTTTTGTACAAATATAATAATATTTAGTATCTAAATTAAATTAGAATGCATAAATTTTATAATTTCTTTTCTCAAAATGATAAAGGAGAAATCAATTACAAACCTTCTTATAAAATAAATTGAATATATAAAAATATTCTAAAATTTATTTAAATTTTATCAACATAATTTCTTTTTAAAAAATGATATAATCGACATGAAAATTATATTGTTATTAATAAATACAACTAATAATAGTTGTGGTAACAAAAATAAAAATAATATTAAAAAAAATAATTCATAAAATCTCTATTAAAGAAGTTTTGTATTTGATAAATTAGTTAGTTTTTAAAAAAGGGAAGATTAAAAATAAAATAATTTATTTGTATTCAAATTCGTAAGAGAAGTAAATTATATGATAATGGAAATCATTCTATTTTTTAGTTGAAGAACAATACATATGAAAATCTTCTTATGATAAGAAATATACTCTTAATTTTAAGTATCACATTCTTTATATGAATGAGATGAAAGAATAAGAAAATTATAAAAATAAATTTAAGAAGGGATTGTAGTATAAAATATATAATTACCATTCCTCAAAAAGAAGGTGAAATATATTTATAATTAGTTTTCGTATAATTTCACTTTAAAAAATAATTATCAGATCCTATTAGGGTTATAGTTGATTAATATTGATTATAATATGAAGTAATATCAATTTATATATTGATGTTTAAGTTAGATTTTGTATATAATTGAAAAAATATTTATATATAATAAAATTTTAGATATCATAATTTTTATAAATTAGAGATAGAATCTTTTGCAGCTTCTATTTCTTCTTCAGAAAGCCAATTATTTCTTTGACCATCTTACCATAATCCGATTTTAAATTATTTTTCATCTTAATAATAAATTCCTAAGCCATTTTATTTTCCATTATTCCAAGTACCAATATATTTTCTACCATCTCCAAAATAGAATATGCCATTGCCTTACTTTTTATCATTATGATAATTCTAGAATAATAAAAATGATTATTATTACTCCTTTATAACATTTTCCATCAGGCCATTTAAGTATTCCTTCTCCATGCATTTTATTATCTAACCAATGACCAACATAAATACGTCCATCTGCCCATTTATAAGTACCAAATCCCGAAATTTCATTGTCAACGAAACTTCCTAAAATATATAGAATATATAATAAAACCTTCATAATTAGCACCATCTGTAAATGTTAAGATTCCTTAACCATTTTTTTTACCAAATTTATAATCTCCTTGATATCTAGCTCCATCTGGCCATGATTCAAAACCTTTTCCATGTTAATTATCATTAACCCAATCTCCTTCATATTTAGCTCCATCTAAATGAATATAGATTCCTTTTCCAAATGCTGTATCTTCAATCCATTCACCATCATAAATATCACCATCTGCATGTATTAATTTACCCTAATATATGTTAAAATATAAATATATACACGTCCATTAGATTTATCTTATTTCCATTATCCTTCATAAATTGACCCATCTGGCCAAATCTATTTTCCAAATCCATCTCTCATTCCATTCAACCATTATCCTTCATATTTAGTTCCATTAGGCAATTACATTAACTCGTTTAGAATATTCAACTTACTGGGAGAGTTTTCCTTTCAGACGATTAAATTGTATCTATAATTGGATCTGGTAATTTTGCTGATGTTTGTATTAAGTTCTTAGACAAATCCTATATCGAGATCTTACTAGTTATTGAGTTTTTTAGTATTCCAGAATCTAAATCATTTTTTATCTTAGGCTCTATTTTATCAGAGGTCTAGTCTTAATAGTTTTTTTCCTGTTTTACTGTTATTTCTATTGAATGAGATGAAACCTTTAAAGAAGTGATTTCATCCTTTTGATAACAAGCAGTTGCACATTTGCATTAACCCATCAACTTCAATTTATTAATTTATTTATGATAATCATCTATTTCTCGCATCAATTATTTTATTTCCCTTCCTTCTTATTTACTTCTTTCTTGCTCTCTTCCTTTTCTTGCTTAAGCATTCTAACACAGCTATTGATTACTCATTTACAGCCTTTATTTCACTTGTCTAGACTACTTATTTCAAAATCTCATTTTATGGTATTTGATATCTATGAATTCTAACACCCTATAAATAAACTGAAGGTGAATATATTATTGATTCATTTAATCCTCTAGGAACACTGCTTATTATTCTACATATTTATTAATACAATCTTGACATATTTTTATATTATTAATATTAAATTACCAATGAAGAACAACATTATGTTTGGGGGAATCTCTTTCAATTGTGGCAATCGTTATAAACTTATAAAATTAGTTGGAACAGGTGCCTATGGTTCAGTAGTATTAGCATATGACTTGCAAAACAAAAATCACAAAGTTTCATTTTTATTGTTAATTATTTAGGTAGCAATCAAAAAATTAAATGTAATTGAAGATGCTATTGATGCCAGAAGAATATTAAGAGAAATTAAAATCTAAAGATCAATGAATCATCATAATATTCTCAAAATTTATGATATAATCTATGATTAGAAACCTGAGTGTTTTGGAGATATTTATATTGTAAGTCCTTATTTTCCAGCGGATTTACATAAAATAATAAAAAGTAATTAAGATTTATCAGTGGAACATGTTTAATTTATAATGTATTAATTATGCAAAGGATTATACTATTTACATTCATCAGGTTCAATTCATAGAGACATAAAGCCAGGGAATATTTTAGCAAATGAGAATTGTGAGGTATGTTATTGTGATTTTGGGTTTGCTCGTAAGAAAGATGAAATATAAGATTAAGTAGATGAAAATATGACAGAATATGTAGTAACTCGTCATTATAGAGCACCAGAAATAATGTTATCAAATTAATAATATTCAAAACCAGTAGATATATGGTCATTAGGGTGTACATTTGCAGAATTGATGAATAGAAAGATACTATTTAATGCTCCTAATTATATATAAATGATAAAGATGTTTTTTGATATTTTAGGTAGACCATCAGATGAGGAACTTAATTAATTTGTAACAAATGAAAATGCATTATCTTTCATTGAGACATTACCTCATAAGCCAAAGTAACCAGCATCTAAAAGTGTACCATATCCAGATGTTAAAGCTAGAGATTTATTAGATCAAATGTTAGAGATGAATCCAAAGAATAGAATTACTGCATAAAAAGTTTACATTATCTTACATAAGTGTTTAGAACATCCATTCTTTGAGTCTATTAGAAATTAAGCCGAAGAGATAACATTTACAGGAAATCTAGAGTGCGATTTTGAAAATGATGATACCATTACATTAGAAATGTTGAAATATCTTATTCTTACAGAAATCAATCATATTAAAGCTAACAATAAGGAAGAATTGATTAATATTCAAGAAGAATTGATAAGAATAGGAATAGATCAATAATATCATTAATGATAATATAAACAAATAATAAAATAATTATTTTATGAAACTAATTGAAATTGTTTAGTCAATCTAACAATTCTAAACAGAAGCTAATTATCCTAATATTCTCTACATTATATCACTTAAGTATATTCATTTTATTAATTATTTAGTTGGGTATAAAAACTTATTCATTCTGTTAAATTGGATGCAAAAGAAAATGTACCTATGAAACCTATTAATCATGATATTATTGATGAAACTAAATCTAATGTTATACAGTATTATATTAAAATTTAATTAGATATGAGGATGAATAGTTTAATACATTTTTAAAAGATAATTTACAATTAAATGTTGATTACATTTATATTAATGAATAGATATGGTCAAGTTTAAATGTAAATCTTATTAATTATTTTAAGAATATTTACCCTGGATATTGTGTTAAAAGATAATTAAGAAATTAAAACTAAATCAACTAATTTATCCTATTTAATTTTATTCCTGTTTATAAATCCTAGAAATATTATATAGACGGAATCTAATAATTTGATTCTGATTGGACTTTTTAATAAATAATTTCTTAATTAGAAAAAGCATTATAAAATTAATTATCACTTTAAACTCCAAAATAAAATTTTATTAAATTATATGTGCTTAAGAATGAAAATCAAACTAATTTAAATAAAATAGTTTAAGAACTTAAAGATAAAAAGATTGAATTAGAAATAATAGAAAACAAAGATCAATTGCTTAATAAAAAATATCTCATAATGGATATTAAGGAATATAAAAAAGGATATTATTTTTAATAGAGTTTAACTAAAAATGAAATAGTAAATGAAGATTAGTTAAGTTAGGAATGTATTGAAAATTGTAGAAAAGGATTATCTATATTTGAGGATTAATAAAGTTTATTGAGTTGTATGCTGAAATGTTATGAATGTATAGATGCAATAAGAAATTAAATATTTAATGATTCATCTGAGAAATAAGAATAAAAATATGGAATAAGAGAACTTGCTAATTATGATATCTTTGAAGATTAAACAGTTATTGATTCATCTTAAAAATATTAAAATTTAAAGGAAATATTAGAAGAATCATATTATGGATTTAGTGAATATGTCTATTATGATTTGTTGAATTACGAATTCTTTGAAGAGAAATAGGTGACTATAACAAAATCTAGATATGATGCAGTATACATTTACAATAATGAAAACAGAATAATCATTAATAATCAAAAGAATATTCGATAGTTAGTAGAGTCTTTATTGGGTCATCCATAATTATATTGTGATTTTAATTCAGTATTGTTTGAAAGCAGTAATGAATTTTATACTGAGGATATTGATTTTATGAAACCAGCTTATAGTTTGAAAGAAGGCTATACTTATTAATTGAGAAAATTAATGTGGTAAGAACATAATATTAATAATGAAGATCGAATTGAAATACGAGTTCATTAATGCATTTATGAAAATCTTGGTTATCAAGAATACAAACCTTTTGCTCCTATTTAAAAATGTTATATAAGTTAATGGGGTAAGTTTCAAGACTTACATTTGTTGATAGCTAATTTGTTTGAAGAAATTAACTATGATAATTATAAAGAGCATAGATTAAATAAAAAATATACTATGTATTTTCAGACTGATCAATAAGGATAAATTAAATGTTCATTTTGTATGCAGAAATTTTGTAATAATTGTTAAGTACCTTTTAATGATAAGCCTTTAAAATTTGGAAAAAGAATAATCAACATTTATGTTATTTATCAAGATATTTAATGTAAATTTTCTCGTTATTAACCAATTATATTTGATAATTATTTCCTTAGAGATTATTTTGAAGTTGATTGGGCGAAAGATAAAATTCTAATATTGAACATAAATTAAGATTAAATCAAACCATATAATATTAAATATTATTTTGAATCAAGTATGTGTTTATTTAATATTTCAGATCATTATTAATTACATGGAATTATTGAAAAGCTATCTTAATATGAATATTAATGTTATTGTCGGAAAAATTAATAATGGTATAAATTTACATAAAATAAATATGAATAAGTTAATGATTTAAATGATGATTTGGATGTAGTTAAATTGTTTTATATAAGAAAATGATATATGATTAATTTTATTTATATAAATTTAGAAATTATATTAAAAAAATAATGAGAAATAGAAAGGAACTTGGACAATCATTTAAAATGAACGGTCCAATACCAAAAATTGATAAAACTCCAGTAAAAAGAAGGAGTTGTGAATGTTCAGAATGTGGTTTAGTAAATAAAAAAATGTAATATATTGGATCTATTATCTAACAATTTCATCCATATTTCAATCTAGCTTATAAATTATTTGAAAATGAAAAAAAGACTTAAGAAAAGTAGACAAAGATTTAGTAATAAAAATAATTGAGATTAAGAAATAAGAGACATAATCATAATAAAGATATGTTTAAAAGAGCAGTAAATGTGATTGCATTATAAGAGGTATTAACAACAAATAGGAAAAAAATTGTTGAATTACCTCCTATAAATATGTGTTCTTTAAAAGAAATTAAAAATAATTCAACTAATAATATGTTATCAGTTTTACCACAAAGAAAAATGTGGGATAAACGATAAACTACAATTAAGTTTCAATATAATAAAAGTAATGGCCATAATCAAAGATGTTATTTGCCAGCTACTCCATTAGATTCACATCTAGTTTTTAGAATTAATAAAGTCATTTACTAATCATATATCTTAAGACATCAGTAAGGAACTGTTGATGACTTTAATTTTAAATTACGAATTAATATTTTTGATGAAAAATAAGAACCCTAACCAAATAAACATTAATTATTAATTCCTCCTATTAGATAAGAAGAAGATTATGATGAAGATGAGTCTATAGTAGAATCAGTTTAATAAATGCCCAGAAAACTTAAACCCATTAAAGAAGAATAATATAAACAAATCTTAAAATATAATAAAAGAAGTTTCGCTAATCTGATTGAATAGGCCTCACTTACTGAAAGGAAAGCTATTCAGAATTTAATTAAAATTAGTATACTTATCTACGTTAAATAGGTAATAGTCATAAAATCTTACCATTAATATTTGACTAATAACCCTTACCAATGTACATGATTAATAGTAACTATTTGGATGCTCAAAAAACATCCAAAAGTAACAAGTTAATTAAACTAGAAAAATCATAACCAGCAATATTAAAGTAATCAATAGCTAAATTTTAGATCATAAAGTTAGCATGTAAAAATAATAGCAATAAATAAACATAAAAAGAACTAAACAGCTGGCTCAATGTTATTAAGATTATGAAATTCTTGTTAAATATTTCATAAATAGTTGATTATAAGAATTATTAATTCTAATTATTTATTTTATTGTAAAATATCATAATGATTTGAAAAGTGAAAAATACATTCATTATTCAAAAATATTAATTGCAGAATGAGAAAACTAAATTTTTTCATCTTTAAATTTAGCATCAAATCCTGATAGATTTAAATATTTTTATTCTAGGGTTGGATGATTATTCATATTTTCTTCTATGTCATCAAAATCAACAGTTTCAAATTGTTAAATAAAATCCATATGTGGTTAACTTGCAGCAATTTTGATTGGAGCTTAAGATGATTATTTTAATTATACAGCATCCTGAAATGAGGGCACATATTTAACTAAATTAGATGATGAAGATCCTAAAATGAATGAAATGAATACCAAGATTAGAAACATTGGAATGTTTTTTAGTATTAGATCTTTAATTAGGATCATTTCCAGGTACAGCTAAAAAAGATCCTTATAGTTTAAGATCCTATATAGATTCTTTATGTTATGATTTATCAGACCATTCAAATATATTATCATATGTATTAGGATTACTACATTATTTCATTAATGTTTTAAGCATATCATAATCAGGTTAATCTTCAAATCCTAAATTTTTTAAATATCTAAATATTATAATATAATAAATACCTAAGATAATCAGCAAATTATATAGGTAATTCTTTACATAATACATCAATAGTCGTATTCATTTTAACTTCTCCAACTGCCATAGTTCTATCTTTATCACCAATATTCTACAAATTTTACCAAGGTAACTTGCTTAAGATTATTATCATAAATTACCCTAAAATAAGGTAGATTATGACATACATCATAGATTCAAGATCATCTTTTCTGCTTATTTCAAATCCTTTATGAGCAGCTATAGATGCATATCTGGTAGTTCCAATAAAGGATTTTTTATCTTTAAATGGACTCTTATCATATAATATGCTTACATATGTCTTCCTTTATCTAAAATAGATTTAGAAACACCAAAATCTACTAAATATGCAACAGATGTATTTTATTTGCCCATCATAATATTTTCTGGTTTTAAATCTCTATGTACTATTCCTCTTTAATGCACTGATTTAAACACAGATAACAATTAATCCAATAATTATAATCCCGTTTTTAGTGATAATTATTTATATGTTCTACTATAATATCCTAAATCTTTTCCCAATAATTCAACAACCATTACATTATAATTTTATTCTGCTCCAAACCAATATAGTTTAGTTATTCCTTATATTCCTTATAATTTTGTTAGTAAATAAACTTCTCTATCCAATGTTTCATGTTCTCCTTTTTCTAATTTTACAGCTACTTCTTCTCTTGTTACTTTATGAATTGCCAAATATACTACACCAAAAGACCCTTAACTTAGTTGATTCTTTATTATATATTTGTTATCAAAAATTTTAGGTTCTAGATAACTACTTGGTAATTTTTTCATATTTAATAATTATATTCAGGAATCAAATAAACTAGAATATGATGCTCTGAAGATTTTAATTCAAATAAGAAATGTTAAGCATCTGTAAAATCATACTCTTATTCACTATGTAAACTACTCAATAAAACACACCAACAACGTCCTTTACTATTATTTTATTAAATCATACCATATTTCTATTCTAAATGATAACGCACATAATCTGCTTTATTTTAATATTATTTCTAACTTAAAGCTCTCTTATATAGATCTACTATATCACTCTTCATTCCTGATGTTATGTTTAATCCTTATCTAACTATATCAAATCTCTAATTACTCATTTTTTAATTATTTCTGTTAAAAATAAATTATTTTCAATTCTAAACTTTATTTTTCTATTTATATCTCTCTTTTCTCTTATAATTTTATTATCAAATTAAACACTATCAAATAAAATTAATCAATTATTTTCTAAATAAAATTTAATTCATTTTTATAATCAAAATATTACCTAATGATTCATAAAAATCCTGCTAGTGATATTAGCACTCTTGTATTGAAACAATATAAATAAATGTATGAAGAAATATGTTTAAGGTTCAAAAATGAAAAAGAATCTTAAAACAAAGAAATTGAAATTTGGAAAGATAAATATGATACTCTATAAAAAAGATGGGAAACTCTTAATTTATTAAAAGATAAATCTGATAAAAAGCTTAAATAAGATTTTTATGATCCTAAATCCTTAAATTAAGTACATAAAATATCTGGACATTAACTAATTAATTTATAACCTAATTTGGAAAAATAATAATTTTAAACCTAGATTCAATAACTAAATGAATAAATTATCAAATAAAAAAAAATAATTCAAGAATTGAATGATAAAAATGAAAAACATTCAATTGATAATAAAAAACTAGAAATTGAAAATAAAAAATATTCTGAATAAATAAATCACATTAGAAAAACATCTAATCATAAATTTAATGAACAATAAATGTTGCAATATGAAGATAATATACAAAAATTTATTCTAGCTATTGATGAAATGAAAAATGAAAAAATTTCTAATGAAAAATAAATAGAAAAATTAATAAAAGAAAATTAAGTTTTAAATTCATCAAATAATGAACTTAGAAATACAATTAATGAATATGAAAAGAGCTAATAATAAAAAAGTTTGTTTTAATTATAATTAAGTGAATTAGGATTAAAAAATGCCCAGCTAGAAAAATTGGTTTAAGATTTGGAAAATTAATAATAGCATCAATAAGATTTAGTTTAATAAAATACTAAATAAATGGAAGATAAATAGTAAGAAATTATAAAATTATAACAAAAAAATTAGGAATTTGAAAAGGAATTAAAAAATCTAAATTAATTATAAGTTGTTTATGATGAATAATAATAAAAACTTTAATAATTAGCTGATGTGATATAAGATTTGGAAGGAAAACTTTTGTAAACTACTAAATTGAAATTGAATGAATCTGAGAAGAAATAATAATAGTAATAAAAATACGATGAATTATATTAATAATATACAGATCTTTAAACTTAAGACATAATGAAATAAGAATGGCTTAATCTATAAAAAGTTTAACTTGAAGATCTTAAATAAGAGAATGAATAATTAAATCATTAGGTAGAAGAATTGTAAAAATAAAATACTATTTTGGTTGATTAGGTTGAATAGTAAATAGATAACACTAGACTTAGTTTTAGTTAATTATAAGATTAGGTAACTTCTTATGAACAAATTGTAACTGATAAGAATTAAGAAATTCATAAATTAATTTTAGAGATATCAAAACAAAAATGTCATTTAAAAAATGAAGATTATGAAGAAAAGATTAAATAATTATAAACTCAATATGAAAAGTTAGAATCAGAATCTAAAATGAAAATAGAATGGATGGAGATATAAAATACAGAATTAGAAGAAACAATAAATGAATATGAAAAAAAAATCTAAAATTTTGTAGAATAGATAAATTAACTATCTTTAAATAATTAAGAAGAGAATTCTAAAAAAATTGCTGAACTTCAAGAACATATTAAATAATATGAAGTTATAGTTAACAATAAGAATATAGAAATAGATGAATTGAAGAAATAACTTAATTAAATTAATTAAAAGTAAAATGATGAAGACTTTGAAAAGAAGTATTTAAATTTAAAGACATAATTTGAAAAATTAGAAACAGAAAATCAAATGAAATAACAATGGTAGAATATTTAGGAAGAGGAATAGTAAGAATAAATTAATTAATTAAATATATAAATTGATGAATTAAATGATTAATTGTCTTAAACTTAAAATCTAAACTTAAAATGTACATTTTAATTTTATTTTAGTACAAAGTGAATTGTAAAATGAAATAGAAAAAAATGAATAATTGATCAAATAATCCCAATAACATCTTTTAGACATTCAAAATTAATTTAATTCTGGAAACATAAAAAATGCATTAAGAAAATCTATTAAAAAAGAGGAATCATAGGAAGAAGAAGTTAATACAAAAAAGAAAAATTAAGATGAATAATTTATAAATGATTTAAAGGAAAAATTAAACACATTAAATGAAGAATTAGGGGAATATGAAGAAAATTAAATTAATTTATAACAATAAATAAAAGAGTTAAGTGAATAGAAAAATAAAATATAATCTTAATATGAAGAAATGTATAATTATTATTCAAGTATTATAATTATTAAATAATATAATAGAGGCTTACGATTAGGTGTAAAATTTTGTAGTTTAAGTTGACGAACTTAATAAAATAATTTAAGATAAAGAAAATTAGTTAGTAGATAATTAATATTAGATACAATAATTGGAAGAACAGTTATTATAAATGAATGATATAAATAAGGATGCTATTAATGAAAATCAAGATATAAATGAAATAAAGGCATTTTATGAATAAAAGTTTTTAGAGTAGGGAACATTAATATAAAATCTATAATAGTAGTTAGAATAAAGTTAAGATTAAGAATATTATTAAAAGATGAACAAAGTATTGTAAGAAAATGAGGAATTAAGATTATTAAGAAGTGAAAATTAAGAAGAATTAAATAAAAAAGATTAGATGATAGAAGAACTATAAATGAAAATGTTATCATAATCATAGGTAACAGGAAGTTCTGGTATTAAATATTTATATTTTTTAATATAGATTTATAAGAAAGAAAAAGAAGATAAGAATTATTGAATAAAGTAAAAGATGATAAATCTGATAATTCTAAATCTTCAAATGAATAATTGGTTAAAAAAATAGGATTATAAACTTCAGGTGCAAGTGCCAAATTATCTTTGAAATTAGATTATACGCAAGAATAATCAAAATCTTCAAAATCAAAAAGTGCTAAGAGTTTAGATTTTCAAGAGTGAATTTGTTCATATTTATTTTAAAATAAATGTATGATCATGCCTTCTTAGGTTTGAACACAACAGCTGCTAATTTTAATACTCCAAATAAAATGGCTGCTTTAAAGAATTCTTTGAATTACTTGCTTCTAAATTCTCTTGTTGCTTATTATTTCTCTTATTGTGGTTGAAGGAAGAACATTTAATTATATATTTAATTTTATTTATGATAAGTAATTAATATGATTAACTTATAAATAATGAATTCTATGTTACAGAATTTATACTTAAGAATTTTGTATAATCTATTTTTGAGATCAAATTATAAAAAAATAGAATAGTCTATGTCATAAATAGCTTTAATATAATTAAAAACATGTGAAGATATAATAAGCTCAATTGATTATAATTTAGAACATAATGTTGAAATGAACACTTAATTAACATCATTTTAATCTAAATTAGATAATTTGATACTTTGATTCAGCAATATCACTTATATTATTGTTTAATTTAAGATTATTTATAATAAACAGAATATTAAGTTATTTAATATGAGATTTGAAAAATAAAATAAGAATAAGTAGATTAAGAATTCATCTAATTTTAGAATAGTATTTGTAATCTATCTTATAGACTATGAGAATAACGAAAAGTGAAATAAAATAGTAATAGTTAAAATATTTAATAGAAGATAAAAAAAAAAAAAAGTTTGAATTTATTCATAATTATACTTTTATCATATTATTTTTTTTGGAATAAGAAGATTGTTCTATTATGTGAATTTATAATTTGGAGATGTCACTAAATTAATAGTATTATTTCTGTTAGTTGATCTTTAAGTATTAATAGATGGAATTGAACCTCTATCATGAATGTCTACTTTACTTCTTAATGTTCGTGATTCTTGAGTATAATCATTATTAACCATATTTATTCCTAAGAAAAAGGAGGATTCAGTTTTTCTAAATGAGTTTTATTTTACAATAGGAAATTTATTTAGTTTAACAGGACTTAAAGAAGTCTAAGTAGATTCTGTTAAGGTAGGTAGAAAAACTTTATTTGGTTGAATTATTTTTAGATTTTTCTTAGGAGATTCTGTATCATATGGAATAATTATTTGTTCATTATCAATGCTGCATTATTATTAAAACTTAAATATTTTTAATTCTTAATTAGATTCATTAGTTTAATTAAGGATAGCATTTAAACGATAATGTTTTTCTTTTTCAGATAAACAATTTAGTGTTCTATAAGATTTATATATTTTAGTTGATTTATTAATTGATAATTTATTTAGAAATTATTAATTTCTGGGACTAAATGCATCTAAATTTTATTATTAATATTAATCTTCATCAAATTCAGCAATTGAAATTTGAAAATCTGTGAGTTGATTTTTGGATTAAATAGGAGATTCTTTAATTGACAATTTCTTCAATTAAATTATAAACAAAATAGATTATAATTATTAAAAAATCTATAATTATTTTATAAAATAAATACTTTTTTTTTTAATTCTTAACATATTCCGAATTATTTAACACTCATAGGAATAGGATCATGAAATTTTCGAGTAATCCAAGGATGAACTAAAGCTTATGAAGCAGTATATCGAGAATCTTGATCAAATTATAATAATCTTTATAAAAGATCTCTTGCTAAAGGAGATGCATGTAAAGGTTGTTCATATTTTAAATCAGGAAAGTTGTTGATAAATTCTTTTTTAGTAAAAATTCTAGGATAGAAAGGATGTTATCCTTAATTAAGTAGCATGTAAAATACAATTCCACATGACCACATATCAACAGCTTTATTATATGATTTATTTAAAATTTATTCAGGTGCCATAAATATAAAAGTTCCACATTATTATGAAACAGTTTAATAATAACGGATTTCAGGTTTATACTAATAACTTAAACCAAAGTCAGCAATCTTAATGCTAGATAAGTCTTCTATATTTTTAATTAAGATATTATCTAATTAAGTTATGTATTAAATACCAGGTTTAATATCACGATGAATAATCTATTTAGAATGAAGGTATTCTAAACCTCTAAATATGGATTACATTATTTAACTGATTATAGATTCTTCTAAACTTTATTTCATTAATTCCTTTAATGATCCTCCAGATGCATATTCCATTATTAAATATTGACAATTTCCATATTTAAAATACTAAAACTATACCAACATAAAATAACCTAATAAAATGTTATAATGTTTTTATGCTTCAAACTTTCCATTATAGATGTTTCTTATATTTATGCACCTTGCATTAGCTAAATAATAAATATCTATTTACTTTTATTGCCACTTCCTCATTTCTATATAATCCTTTATAAACTTAACCAAATGCTCCTTCTCCTATTTTTTCATGAATTCTAATATCTTTCTCTAATAAATAATCATGTCTCATATTTTTAATTATTATTTAATTGATCAATTACAACTTACCTATTCATATTATTTATTATATAACAACTATTATTCTAAATCTTATAGAAGATAGAATTATCATTAAATCAATCTATAATCAATTACTAATTAAGAATCTATTTATTAAACAGTCCTAATTCAGTATAAAATAATAATATATCATAAATTACGTAATGAATAATATAATCAACAGTTTCTCCCCTATTGCAAAAAGAAACCCTAAAATTAGAACTGAAAATATTGATTTCAAGATGAAACTATTTCAATTTGAACCACTTAATATAAATACGCAACCTATTAAATAAATAAGAATTAAAATAGAAAGAAAACTATCTCCTATATTTGATTAGAATTACAATGCACTTTTCTTAAATAAAATTAAAGTACAAAAAATGGCATTGAAAAAAGCTAAACTCTCTTAAAGTATAGATTGTAGAGCATTGCCAGAATTAGATTTATAAGCTTAGTTATAAATTATATAACCAACAACTCTCGTATTACCATCTACTTAAAGAAATACTAATACTTCTACTTAAAAAAGTACTTATACTTAAATAACTTAATCAAAGAAATTCAAATTTAAAGANCTTAAACCAAAGTCAGCAATCTTAATGCTAGATAAGTCTTCTATATTTTTAATTAAGATATTATCTAATTAAGTTATGTATTAAATACCAGGTTTAATATCACGATGAATAATCTATTTAGAATGAAGGTATTCTAAACCTCTAAATATGGATTACATTATTTAACTGATTATAGATTCTTCTAAACTTTATTTCATTAATTCCTTTAATGATCCTCCAGATGCATATTCCATTATTAAATATTGACAATTTCCATATTTAAAATACTAAAACTATACCAACATAAAATAACCTAATAAAATGTTATAATGTTTTTATGCTTCAAACTTTCCATTATAGATGTTTCTTATATTTATGCACCTTGCATTAGCTAAATAATAAATATCTATTTACTTTTATTGCCACTTCCTCATTTCTATATAATCCTTTATAAACTTAACCAAATGCTCCTTCTCCTATTTTTTCATGAATTCTAATATCTTTCTCTAATAAATAATCATGTCTCATATTTTTAATTATTATTTAATTGATCAATTACAACTTACCTATTCATATTATTTATTATATAACAACTATTATTCTAAATCTTATAGAAGATAGAATTATCATTAAATCAATCTATAATCAATTACTAATTAAGAATCTATTTATTAAACAGTCCTAATTCAGTATAAAATAATAATATATCATAAATTACGTAATGAATAATATAATCAACAGTTTCTCCCCTATTGCAAAAAGAAACCCTAAAATTAGAACTGAAAATATTGATTTCAAGATGAAACTATTTCAATTTGAACCACTTAATATAAATACGCAACCTATTAAATAAATAAGAATTAAAATAGAAAGAAAACTATCTCCTATATTTGATTAGAATTACAATGCACTTTTCTTAAATAAAATTAAAGTACAAAAAATGGCATTGAAAAAAGCTAAACTCTCTTAAAGTATAGATTGTAGAGCATTGCCAGAATTAGATTTATAAGCTTAGTTATAAATTATATAACCAACAACTCTCGTATTACCATCTACTTAAAGAAATACTAATACTTCTACTTAAAAAAGTACTTATACTTAAATAACTTAATCAAAGAAATTCAAATTTAAAGATAACTCTAACTCATAATTTGAATCTGAAAGAAAAGGACAATAAAAAGTTGGCTTTAGATTACCAAAAATTGATAAGACTGTAGATCTAAATGAATCTATAAGCTCTCTTAATTGTTGGACCATGAATAGCTCTTCTGGTCTTCTATAACCTTATAAATGATTAAATTAAATGTATATAGAAAAAAAAAAGAAATAAATTTAATTAAATAAAATTTATATTTTAATTAATTTTATGACTGTTTATTAATAATTATATATTGATTAGATCTTAATAATTTATAGCTATCAAATTAACCCTAATCTTAATTTTTGTCTTTAAACTTTTTTAGTTTACAACGTAGAACGATTCTATATTAATCAACTAAATCCAATACTTTAATCCATGGATGATTTAATGCTTCATCCAAAGATATTCTTTCATCTGGATCTTTATTTAACAATTTTGTTATCAAATCTTTTGCCCCTGGTGATATCTGTTACCAAAAAGAATCACTTAAATCATAATTGGAATCTAAAATATTCTTAATTATATCTTCAGGAAATGAAGCATCAAAAGGTAAGAATCCTTAAATAATTGAATATTAATACCAGATAATAAGAAATAAAGAATTACACCTAAAGCAAAGTTATCAACTTTGAAATCAATTCTTTTTTATGATAAAGTTTCAGGAGCTAAATAATTGGTTGTTCCACATAAAGCTTCTCCTTCTTTATTTTATATATTTGTTAAAAAATTAGCAAATCCAAAATCAATAATCTTAACATATTTTACAGTTTTAGTTATTTAATCCAGTACAATCATAATATTTTCTGGTTTTAAATCTCTATGAACTATTCCAACACTATGAACATAATTTATTGTATCAAATAATTAACCCATTATTAATGAAGCTTCTTATTCATTTAAATTTTCATTATTTGTTATATAATCAAATAAATCTCCATCTCTAACTACTTCAGTTATAATATTTAAATGGGTCTTTGTTTCTATTATCTCAACAAATCTAATTATGCATGAATGATTCAATAATTTCATTATTTCTACTTCATGTCTATTTATATAAATATTAATAATATACGCTAACATTAATTTTTCTTATTTTGATAATTTAAACTTTTCAATTATCTTCATTGCTAATTATTATTTAGTTTTTTTGTCTTCACAAAGATAAACAATTGAAAATTTTCCTTCACCTATTTTTTATAATATAGAATAATAATCATTAACAGAAGCCCTATTTTAGATAATAAAATACTTTTAGAACATTTATAAACCATTTGTCCATTTCTTAAAATCTTCAAAATCTTTACAATAGTATAATCTTTAAGGATATACCTTATCTTTATGTGATATTTCAAATCCATATTTTTATTCTTAGCTATTCACAATTTCTTAAATTGTCAAACCATCTAAACAAAATATTTCTAAATTAAAAATATTTGATAAAATTTATACTTGAAGGAATTGCTTAATCAAGTTTCTTATATGATAAGCAAAATCTTTATATTAATTTAAAATATCTATCTTTAGAAATCTTTGGATTCTTTCTACTTACTTTTTATAAATGTCCTTCTAAATCTTTTTAAACTGTTACAAATAAAGGTACTAATGTACTATTATTAACACCCCAAATATCATAATTAAATGCTTTATATAATCCATCAAATATTTTTGGATGTAATTTAACAAATTATTTAAATTCTTCAATTGATAATCTATATTATTTAATTAAATTACTCTTCTTCTTATTTTCCTTTATTTTTATAAATCATATCGACATATTTACGTACTAAATAATTTACATTTACTCTTTTCAATTCTACTAATTTTCCATTTATTTAAAATGTTATATTTTATCCAAATTATCCCATAGGTACTCCATTTGGTCCAACCAAACTTTCATTTGGAAACATCATTACAACACTTTATTCATTAAAATTTGGAAGACTTGATTAAATTGATTAACAATCTACTGATTATTATCTAGAAAGTGATTTTATTTCCCCACTTTATTAAGAAGATCCTTTTCTTTATATTGCATGAACTATTATTATTTTTATATATTTTATTTATTACCTGATTCAGTAAATTCTTATTCATCTGCTTTTAATGGTTTAGCTTTCTTTTAATTTATCTTTTCTTTTTTCTCATAATATTTCAAAATCTTTAAATCTTCTAAAAACATTGGATCATCTAATAATCTTATTAAATCTTCTCTAGGATAATTTTAAAGCTTTATTTAAAAACCAAATTACCATTTAAAGGAACTCAGCCTTTTTTATTATTCCTATATTTTCTAAATCATATAATTTAAATAAATGATCAATCTTTTATTCTTCATCACATTTTATAAAATATGCTACACCTTTTAAAAACTACTCAAAATTTATCAGATTTTCATTTTCATCATCTTTATTAAAATAATCAAAAACTAAATCACCCCATAACCCAATCATTGTAAAAAAATCTGTAAATGCAGTTTTATTAACTAAATTTTCTACATTTCGAGAATTTAAATCACTATATATTAAGAACAACAAATCAATCTCTTTTGGAAGAACTTACAATAATCAATAAATTTACATTTTTCTTCTAATGACCGTGGTATACTATACAAATTTACTTTCTTGGGCTTACCTCCACATGTACCCATTCCAATATCTATAATGAAATATATATATAAATTTATATTTAAAAGAATTACAAACTACGTTTTATTATACCATTTATTATTAAACTTATTGTTATTTATACTAAATTCAATCCATTTCTTTAAACTTATTCCTTCCAAAAATTTAATCTAACAATTCAATTATTCATTCCATCAAATACTTTCCTTTTTTATGTTATTTTTTATTCATTTTTTTATGTAATCTTTGAATATTTTCATTATCTTTATCATTAATTATAAATTTCATGATAAAAATCAAATTTGATTCAATAATAATATTTATAGAACAATAAAAATTACCAAATTTTATTGTTTAAGTATTTTAATGTTCTCCTTATTGCATTTTTTTCTAACGGTTTTGTTTATTTTATAACAACATCATCTCAAGAAAAACTTAATATTTCATTAAAGTATATTGTATAAGAGTTAGAAACTTAATAGAAGAGCCCTTTCTTTTTTTCTAAACTTTTATTTCTATAAATAATGTAGAAATGTTGAAAAAATTATTAAGAAGATGTTTTATATAGTTAAGAATATTATTTAAATATAAACAAATTATTTATGTGGATATTCAATTTAAAATAAAACCAATTAGAAAATTTATTTAAAAGAATCAAGATTTTTATAAATGAATGATAAATTACTCTTGTTAAAATAATAATAAAATATTATCTCTTATAACAAAGTATGTTATTATAAGGGAATTAAAAGATTTTTCAAAAATAATTTATTTTTATTCTAAATTAAGGTTTAATTTTATCATTTATAATAGACAAAATCAAAAATACAATTTATTTAATATGAAATTTATATAAAGCAACGAAATAGGAGAGGGTATCAAAAATAGGTATAAAATTGTGTTGTAACTTTAAAGAAAAAAATGTATTGTAAAATTTTTAAAATAATTAAATTTTATAGCCTTCATTTTTACCAATATTAATTTCAATTATCCATAAAAATAAGAGAATTAATTTGTGAAAAAATATCAGAAAGTATTCAACCTTAATAATTCTTTCTTTATCAATTAATTATTAATCAAAGTATTAAAATTATCATGTTTTTAGTATAATTATTAACCATATAGATTGTTTCAATAGAAAAAATATTGTAATAGTTATTTTATAGTTCGTAAAGCTCAAAACATTATCTAAAATAATTTTTTCGAATATTTAAAGGAATAAATTTATGGAGTTCTGCATCACTAAAAATATTTTGAAAAAATGAAGGAGGAATTTTATATTGAGTTTATAAATTAAAATTAAATAGATAGAAATTGCCTGATAAAAATCTTTAAAGACTTTATTAGATTTTTTAGTTTGAAATATTGAGGTACATACATTGTAACACTCTTAATTTTTATTTTAACTGATATCTTTTACAAATATTTAAACATTTATTTTTTCCTTCTAAAATTCTTTTTGATGGTTGTACAATTTATAATAATAAAAAATAAATTATTTCAAATAAGATAAAAAGTCCAATTTTAACTAAAAATGGTCAGATCTTAAATTTTTATTTTCATCTAGCAGATTAAATTTTCTCTTCGGATTTATTTTCACAAATTTTTGACTATGAGACAACTATCCATTATCAATTATAATAAAGATTAAATCAGATGTTATTTTTGTTGTGAAGTATCGGAATTAAAATATGATTTGTATTTTGAATAAATACTTTATATAAGGAATCTAAACCAATCTTTATAATTTTTGAATGAATTAAGGATGTGATTATTTATTAGTATTTTGATTCAAATTGGTATAATTAAAGATATGAAATAATCAAAATTATGCATATTTACTAATTTAATCTATATTTCATAAAGAGAAATTACTGATTTAAATAATCTCTTCTTTAAAACAAAAAAATTAAATATTTTAGGCTAAAGACTTCTTTCTTAATTGAAAAGGCATTCTTTTTCGATTGAATTCAAAATAGCTTAAAAACTATTTTTCTATCTACAAAATAGTCAATTCACTTTTTATAGAAAAAAAGAAATATAATTTATATTTAAACATATTTTTATAATAAATAAATGCTTTGCTGCAATAAAAGAAAGAAGAAGATTGATGGAATTTTAGAATAAAGAAAGACTAAATTAGAAATTGTAAAATCTAATCTAATTTTAGCAATAAACTTAAGACATTAATGATGAAGCGATGACATTATATTAAACTTAAAATTTCTTTAATAACTCCAATCTTTTTCATAATACTAATGATCTATAAAGTTTAAGGTAATAAAAAAACTTATTTTAGATTAAGAACTGGCTCCAATATAAAGGAAAGTCGATCTGTTGAAAAACTTATATAGAATCTTCCAAGTATTAGTCCTCGATAAAGTTCATTTAAAAGCTTCAAATATTGTCATACAAGTCCTGATACTAAATTTATTTCTCAGAAGTAAGGTTTCACCTTATTAATAACAAAATCACCTTAGAAGTGAATTACTTTAAGTTAAAAATACCTTTCGATAAAATATTTATTTCTTATATAAAATTCATATTTGCCTTGTTTTAAACTTCTTTTTTGAAAGTAACACTCAGTTTTTAAAAAAATTTAAGTTTAAGAATGTTTAGAACATCATTCAACTGAAATATTAAATGAAACTTAAAAATTGTTGTATTAAAGAATCTATTTTACTTTTTATTAAAGAATGGCTTTACAAAAGTTAACTTCTTAAATTTCTTTTTCATTCAGACTTTAGATATATTACATTTCTAAAAATGTAATTTCTAATTTTCACAAATAATTCCTTAAAGGAATAATTCAAAATATTGTAGTCGTTTATTGAGATTTGTTGAAGCATTTAAGGTTATTTCTTAACAATGGATAATAATTTACTTAAAATTAAAAAAAATTTTTTTCAGAATTCATTTTACTTATTTTTATCAAATTAATTATAATTTTTTTCTAAATTACCTATGCTTAAGCTTATTAAAAATGAAATACAATTGTATATGTATATTATTCATTTCAATTACTATTTAAATCAAAAATATTTTTAATATCATTTTTTCACTTTTAAAATATGATTTGAATCTATTATGAATTATTTAAGTATAATTAAAAACATTTTTAGTTTCTTAGTCTAATAAATTATTTAAGGAATAATATCTAAGTTTACTGATAAATTAAAATCCGTTTTCTGCACTATTATTCAATTAATAGAACATCTTTCTATTTAAAATTTGAATAAACTAAATGTGTTAGAGTTATTTTTTATAATGTTAATGATTAAATTTTTTTTGAAATAAGGATACATTGAATTTTTCTTTTAATGAGTAAAAAAAAATTAAATTGAATGTGTAAACATTTAACTTATAAATAGATTGTAAAAGATTAAGAAACTAGTATAAATTAAAAAAACAAAATTTTATATAATTAATGCATTGTTAAATAGGAATTCTGTGTTTTCCACAAAGAAAAGTAAATTTAATGGGTATTTGATTTTTTTATCCAAATATCAAAAATAAGGAAATAATAAAATTTAGAGATAATGAAAACAAAAAGTCCTACTTACTAAACAGAAATTTGATGAGATAAGCGAATTCATAATTATTTATTCATAAATTTATTAAAAACTCTTTAATAATAATTTAATTATGTTAACTTATGCCTATAATCATGAAACTTCTAACAATCATGAAGAATTATCATTTGCCAATGTAAATTTAATATTAATATTTCAGCAACAATTGATTCTCTAAGCATTATCTAATATGCCTTTATAATTATAATAGAAGGAAAAAACTCTGTAAATAGAGAATACAAAGCTAAAAAATGAAAATATAGAGCTTTAATCTTAGCTCAATAAATTAGAAAATAAACACCAAGAATTAATTAATGAAGTAAACATAAAATATATTCTTAGATTTAAGATCTGAGATAGTTAGTGAAAAGAGTCTATTAAGAAGGGGAAGTATAAATTTAGTATTAAAAACAAAAAAATGTACGATTTTAATAATTTTAAGCAACAATTAGAATACAAAAATGAAAGTCTAACAAAGGCTTTGGTGAATTTACAAAATAATTTAGAAACTTTTGCTTAATTAAAAAATTTGTCCGATTTTTTTGATGGCAATGAGATTTAAGAGAAGAATTTAATTGAAAATGCTTCTATTTAATGATTATTATTATATAATAATAAATATTATTTTAAAAGACAATAAAGATTCTAATAAATAGAAATTCTTTACTATACCTTATTATTTGAATCTAATAATATGTGTTAATAAAACAATTTTACTTTTATTGAATTTACCTAAAATTATATTTTTATAATTCATGTCATTTAAAGAGATAATTTTTTATTATACTAATAAAATTGATCAAGAAAATAGAATAAAACATGTGTGAAAATTATTGTAGAATGCAATTGTTGTATCAACTTAGATAAAGAAAAATTATGGAAAATAATTAATAGATCAATATTTATGATAGGATAAAGAAAAAAGTTTAGAATTAAAAATTATAGGATTAAGAATTATCATAAAATGAATCAACAGATAAGGAAACCATTTTTCCATTTATTATTCGTAAATCACCATAAGAGTATAAAGAATTTATATAAAGCATAAATACTGGCAAAAATAGGTTAATTCCTTAAAATAAAACAATATTTAATGCAAAACTAATAAATGATAATAGATCTAGATCAGTAAGTAGAAAAATAACACCTTTTTATTAAAAAAATATAGTTTATGATCAAATTAATACAAGATTAGATAAAGAGAAAAAAACAATAGTTGTATTTTCTCAAAGATAAAATCCTTTGAAGAACGATTATATTTATAGATTCTGCAAGAGAGATTCATTTTCAAGTTAATCTGGAAGAAGTTATTAAAACAATTATTTTTGATCAATATATAATCATTTTAATATTAAGTATATATGTATATATTTTGTAATTAGTAAGATTTAAAAAAAGCTAATTATATTTTTGTATAATTAAAATTTTTTATCATTATCTAATATAATCGAATATTGATAATAAAAATTAGTTTAATGCAAAAGAATTTAAATATAATACTATTAGTTTATGATAGCAAAAATAATGTTTAATTTCAAATTTATATACCTTTTTAATTAATAAAAGGCAGGATAAAAAAGTGAATAATAGATAAATAAATAAATCTATTTTGAACTAATTCAATAATATATATTGAAATAAAAAAAAATAAGATGAAAAATGTAAACAAAAACAGATTAAATTGCAAATTATTGATCGAAACAAGAAAATAAAAAGAACATACTCCTTAAAAATTAAAGAATACTATATAAAATACTTTCAATCAATTTAATTTTATTGAATCAAGTAAAACTTAAGAGATTATTTTATAATAAAATCTAAATAAGACATAATAGATAAAATTTATAGAATAAGAAGAAAGATTAATAGTGAATAATAATAATACTAAAATGAATAATTTAAAGTTAAAGCAAAATAATTTCCCACAAATGATGAATAGATTGTTAATCAACTTTCATCCTCTGATAATAAACGTTAAATAATTAAATGTGAAATAAATATGTAAATCATAATAACAATCACGTAGAAGGAGATTTATAACAACATAAGAGAAATATGAAGAAAATACTAATAATTATATACAATTATTAAGTGAGAGAAGATGTATTACAAATAATGGATATTATTAAAATTAGAGATTGTAAACATTTTGTAGTTGGTCTCGAAAAAGTTCAGATAATCTTTCCATAAAAAAAAATTAATTTTGATATTTTTGAGTTTATTATAGTAATGATAGTATTAGAGTGATAGTTATAAAATATGGAATGGTATTAATAGGTTTAATTGATCAAAAGTAGAATACAATCATCATAATTAAACATAAAATTAATAAAAATAGAATAGCCTTAAGTTTTCTTACATTTTCAATTTCAACAGTAGCTTCATCTAATAATGATGATAATTATTTAGATACCTGCATGTCTTTCATCTTTTTCAATATCTCCATCTTTAATACAAATTAAATTAAAAAGTGATGGAAACAATCCATAACCTGCAATCATAGCTCCATTAGCTAAGTTATTTTATCCAATTTGATTATTATTTCTAACAGGATCATTTCTTCCAGGTTTAGGTCTTGGAGGAATATTTGGATCACGAGATTTACTAATATAAATATATATAAAATACTTAGATTTTGCTTCATCTTTTGAATATAAAGGAATTAAAGAATTTTTAGAACAACCATTTTTACAAACAGGACATGTTAGAAATTCTTAATTTGAATTAAGCCACTAGTCAAATTATTATAATAATAATTACGCTATAAATACAAGGCCAACAATAGAGATGACCACAATTAGTTAAAATTGGTTCTGTAGCTATATCTAAACATATATTGCATTCAAAAGCTGATTCTATTAATTATAATTTTGATTCTTCTTCTTGCCTGCTCATTTATTTTATTTATATAAATATATATATTAAAATTTATCCATTTAAATTCTTTAATAAAAATAATGTCTGAATTTTATGCTGTAATCCTAGCAGATTGTTTTGATGATAAATTTGATCATCTCACAAACACAATTCCAAAAGTAAAAAAATACTTAAATTAAGAGTTTATTTCCGTTCGTAGATGATTTAATAATAGAACATCAAATTAATTGGTTATAAAAAAATGAAATCGATAAAATTATTGTGCTTTATAGAAATTAAAAGATTGTTGAATATTTTAATAACAGAAAGAGACCAGGAAGAAAAACATTAGAAATTTAATTAATAGATATTTTAAATAGTAGGAATCTTGGTGATGCTTTAAGAGAGTTATAAAGTCATCTAATTATTCAATAAGATTTTTTATTATTGTTTGGTGATGTAATAACAAATATTTCTTTAAAAGAAGTAACCAATAAATATCATGAATAAAGAAAACAAGATAAAATGAACATTTTATTAATGGTTGTTCATTAAGGAGTATAATAATATGAAGAAGAAAGATTTCTTTATGTAGTAGAAAAGGATGATAAACTTTATTAATTAGCAGATCTATAATAAAATTAATTTGAATTAAATAAAAGTATTATATTATATAATTATTAAGAACATATTACATTAACTAAAGGAATGCCATGTAATTATGTGATTAAAAGTAATCTAATTGAATCTGGAATTTATATATGTAATAGAGATGTTCTTAAGAGTTTCTAAGAATATTTTATGTTTGCAGAAATTAAATAAGATTTTATTAAATATATGACTTCAACTAGTGATATTTAAGAAGAGAAAATTCATTTATATATAGCTCCAAAAATTCAAGTCTCTTAAAGAATATTTCATATATAATCATACCATAATGCATGCCTTAAATATTTAAGTAGATTCTTTTTTCCTTATTGTCCATCATAAAAATACTATATTGATTTTTTTAAATATTTTGCTGGTAAAGTAGATTAGAGGTCTAAAGTAAGTGATTAGAGTTATATTGGATAAAATACAGAAGTAAAATCAAAAACAATTATAACAAAATCAATAATTGGAAAGAATTGTAAAATAGGAGTTGGATGTGAAATAGTTAATTCTATTTTATGGGATAATATTTAAATTGAAAATAATATTATAATTAAAGATAGTATTATTACTTCAGGATGTATTATCAAAAATTCAATTTAATCTTAAATTGTATCAACTGATAAATCAACCAATTATTAACAATTAATAACCCCTTCAAAATATGATGTAGATCCTTTTGAGTTCTAAGGTTCATAAGATGATTCATTTGAGAGTTCGGGTTCAAATCAAGATTCTGATAAACTAGGATCATAACCAAAAAAATAAAATTTTTATTAAGATTTGATAGATGATATGATTTCTATTGTAGCTAAATGTTCTACTATTAGTTAAGTTAAAGAAGCTATTATTAATGTAGATACTATTAAAGTTAATTCTAATATCCCTTTTGAAAATATTGTAACAGCATTTATGTAAGCATTTTTTAAAATACTTTAACCAAATGTCGATTCTCTAAAAAATGCATATGAATTATGGTAAGAATTTATTAACAGATTTGTAAGTGAAACTGAAGTTGCATCATATATTAAATCTATTGAAACATTTTGTAGATAAAATTAAGAATATCATTTAAATTAATTTTTACAATTGTCATATCAACATTCAATATTGAATGAATAAGTAATTCTTAATTATTTGGATTAAATTAAATAAGCTGAAAATGATTAATTTGCATAAGAATTCACAGAAACCAGTTCAAAATTTAAAAATTATTTAGAAAATATTATTGCAGAATAATGTTTAACTCAAGCAGAAAATTAAGATGGAGAGTATGAGTATGAATATGTATATGAATGATATGTCCATAAATAAATAATCAACATAATCTTTATCTATCTTTTTTATATTCTTCATAAAATATAAGTTAATTAAACTATTTCATTTATTTGATTCTCTTTAATCCATCATATTTATTATAATTATTCATTTTTTATTAAATTCATATTCATTTGCCATCTTTAAACATTAATCATAATATTTAATTATTTATTTTATTATAATTTATTTTTTTGCTTTATATATCATCTATGAATTCTTTGTTCTATTTACTTTATTAATTATCAAAAATATATTCTCATATATTAATATAATTAATTCATCTTAAATAATTTCATATATTATTCTTATAAATCAATTATGCATAGAAAATTAACCAATTTACTATCTAAGTCTAATGAAAAGTAAATAATATTAACTCCTAAAAGCCATTCAAATGCAGATATCACATCCATTAATTTTGTATTAATTTTTTATCTAACATAGTTTCAAAAGTAATTACTCAACATAATAGAATACAAAAATAAAGATGTTGATTTTTAAAGAATTATAGAAACTTTATCTTTAATGTCTAAAGAATTAGATAAAGCTTCTTAAAGAGAAATAGAACTTGGATTAAAAGAGCGATAATTATAGAAAATATAATAATTGTATAATTAATTAGAGGTAAGTTATGAAGTTTTAAAAAAAAAGAGTGATGACTTAGAAATCTAGAATAAAAACCTTAAAATTAAAATTGAAGAATTAATTCATTAAAATTAATAAAATTATCATTAATATTAAGTCTAAACAAAATTGAGTGGTGATTTAAATTAAAAAGTAACTAATTTAGAATAAAGATTAGAAATTATTTTAGAATGTGATTATCCTACTGAAAATGCTATTATTAGAAAAACATTAATTGATTTAGTGAAGGAATGTGAAAAATAGAAAAGAGATTTGTAAATAAAAAATTAAGAAATTCTTAAATTATAGGATTAAAATAAAAATTGCCAACAAAGAATCAATAAATTAAATTAAAAATTGGAGATTATGAAAAAGAATTGTACTGTACGAGAATTAGAAAATTATTCATCCGAAAAACTAGAAACTAATACTTTGGATGATTAATAGTAAGATCCAACTTAAATTCTTATACGATATTAACCTTTTGATAATTTAGATTATAGGGTAAATGCATTAAAAATAGAATTTTCAGATATCATTAAAGATTTAGAAGAATAAGGAACTTCAATTTTCACATAAAAAATGTTACAATCATCTTAAAAACAAATAAGAGAATAAATTTAATTAATTACTTCTTAATATTTATCTTATAAGGACTTTTCAGGAAAATTAAATATGATGTTAAAGTAACTAATCTTATTGTTTAAAATTGATAGTTTATAATAAAAATTGTAATTTATTGCTTAAAACTTTAAGCATATCTTTCAGTGTTAAAATGCACGATTTTGGGTTCTTGATGCATAAATAGGAATTCTATATACAAATAATAATTAAAGAGCAATAATAAATAAAGGATCTTTTAGTGAATTAATAAGATTACTTAAACCAATTCATAAAAGAGAATACAATTTGTTATATAATACAAATGAAAATGTTTCTATTTACACTAATTAATGTTTATTATATCCAATATTTGATTAAAATAAGAGAGTAATTGGAGTTTTAGAGATGAGTAATTCAGTTTGTGATTTCTTCTCTTTTGATGAAGAATATTTTGGTGTTATCTTAGCTAAATTTTGTGAATTAGTAATCTAAGATTATATTCAAAATAGTTTATACTAAATAACCTTAAAGTTTGATTCAATGATTTAATTAGCATTTAATGAACTTTTATAATGTAAATCACGATTTGATTTATTTAAAACAATTAGAAATTAAATGGAAATTATTTTGACTGTTCAGACAATAGCATTTTATTTTATTGAAAATAATTAATTTTTAACATATAAAACAATAGATCATAGTTGGGATGGTATAAAACATAGTAAAATTTATTCGAGAGGGTCTGCCATTAATTAACCAATTATAGTAACGTAAAAAGGAATAGCAAAATTAGTATTTGATAGAAAAAAAGTATAAATAATAATATGATTAGGAACTAATAGTAATGAATACAAGAAAATGTATAGAATTTGATGATACTATTGATATTGATTCTATATTGCCTGTATTAATTCACCCTATTATTTGTGATGATCAAGTTATTGCAGTATTTGAAGTTCCTATGAAAACAAGAAATCTCTTTAAATAAGAGAAAGATAAGATTATGATAGGGAATTCAGAAATAATAGGGCCTGATATCAGTTTTGAAGTCCTTATAGGAAGAATAGATTCTATAATTAAGAAGGCAATTAGCATAATGAAATTAAAATGAATATAATATTTTATAAATTAATATACCAAATTTAAAGAATGATTATTGAACTTACAAAAGAATAGTTAACCTATATTAAAACAAGATTACCATATGATTATTATTTAGTTAGAGTATTAATTAATATCATAACAAGAAAGGTGAATAAAAACAAGAAAATGATGGTTTAAATCCAATTTAAGAAGAAGAAAGAAACAAATGTATCAAAATCATTGATGATCTAAAAAGAACTGAATAATACAAATAATTGACAAATAAAGATATGACAAATACATTCAATAAATAATTTACAAGATTATTTATGAAAATTGATGAATAATATAAAAAGATGAAAAATGAACAGTTAATAAAAATGTAATTTTATATATGTAGAAATAGGACAAATATTATAGCTAAATTTTATAAAGATTTAAATTCTTTATTCATCAAAAGTAAAATTCTATCTTCAAATTCTGAATCTATAAAATTAATTGATGAATTAGATTCAAGATTTAAAATTTTATTTGAACCACTTTAAAAAAAATGTTAAGAATAGATGCAAAAACATTTGAATCAATTATTAAATGGAGAAATAAAAAATAAAATTATTATTAAACACAAATAACCTTAAAGTGATTAAGAAAAAAAAGATTTATTTGAAAAATTAAGCAAGCTATCCTCAAGTTCAATAAAATAAATTTTAAAATATTTAAATGTTAAAACCTAAGGAGAATATCTATTTGATATAGAAAAATTAGACACTATTTAATTTCGAAAATTATATTAATTTGTTAAACAAAGATCTGAAAGGAAAGCCTTAAATAAATAATTATAAAAATATTGTAAAGAACAAAATCTTGATTAAGATGAATATTCTTATCAATCCTTTTTGTCTGATTCTAATGAGTTATTAATAAATTGAATTATATTATTAATTAATAGATGATTAAATAAGATATTTTTTTACTTGGAATGATATTAATGATTATAAAAACGAAAATTTCTAAATTATGATTCAATTAAATAAGTTATTTCTATTAAAAATTTACAAAAATGATAGCCTTATCATCTGAATGTACTCATTATAAAAGAAATTGTGACAAGAAGGCTCCTTGTTGTGGTAAGTTTTATCCTTGTAGGCTTTGTCATGATGCCAATTATGAAGGTTCTTCATCTGATAGATGTGATACAGAAATAATGGATCGATATAATGTTACCATCATAAGATGTAGAAATTGTTTATGCGAATAACCACCAACCAATTAATGTATATCATGTGGAATTCAATTTGCTAAATATTTCTGCTCCATTTGCAAATTATATGATGATGATTCTACTAAAGACATTTTCCATTGTGATAAATGTAAAATGTGTAGAAGAGTAAATTGTTATATTCTATCATAGGGAGTCTAAGAATAATTATTTCATTGTAATGTATGTGACATTTGTATACCTTAAAAATGTTAAATTTCACATAAATGTTTATATCAAGTTGCTGATAGTGATTGTCCTATCTGCTTAAAAAATCTCAAAATTTCAACAACTTTTATCTAATAGTTAGACAATTGTGCACACTTCATTCACCTAAGCTGTTTAAAATAGTTGATTGAATCAAATCAAAGAAATTGTCCTATTTGTAGTATTCCTATTTTTGTATTTAATTCAATAAATATAGAAAATGACCTAAACTGAAATTCAAATATTTGATATATTAGCTGAATCAAATATAAATCCTAATCAAATACAAAATTAAGAAGTTAAAATTCTATGCTACGATTGCAGATAAATTTCTTTGGAAGTTCGTTTTAATCTCTTTTTAAAATGTACCCATTGTGGTTCATATAATACAAAGATATAATGAAATTGACAATAATTATTAAATTAATTGTTTTCATTATTAATCTAACTTGATTTAAATCAATTTTTATTTATTCTAAATATTTATTCATGTCTAAATTTCTTTGCTAAAATAATTTTAACAAATGGGGGTTGTAATGCAATATTTAATCCATTCCTTTAAATGATATAATAGTAATTTAACAAAAAACCAAAAGAATCAATTAATATACAAATATAAATAATAACAAAATATTATTTTGAATTTTTTTAAAGTGACTTATTGATTAAGATTTCTAAAATATTCTAATAGAAAGAAATTTTTTTGTTTTTCGTAAAATTATTAATATCAACCACAATA